TAGATTATGTCTAACTGCCATTCCTCGTCCAAGTCTCTCGTCATTTGTGCCAGTCGTTCTCGTTGGACGGTTATGAACTTATCGGTTGGCGTCTTTTCGTCCTGGGGATTATTAAAAATGTCCAAAAAAAGGCGATGGTTAGGTCGCCTGGGGGCAAAAGCTTCTCGTAGAAGTTCCGTAGCTTCTCTCCATGTGTATACCTGATTTTTCACACCATTCCACCACTGGTTGGCTTCTCCAGTCAGTAGTAGGGGTAAGCCGGCTATGGCGTCCTCGTCCGTGATATTTTCCATATCCTTGTATAAAGTCGCAGCCGTAAGAAATTCCGTTACAGCAGCGTGGGCGCGCTTTCCGTCAAAACGGGCCTGGCAGTGGGTAAAGTGGCGGTTCCTGACCACTTGCGGTTGCGGGACAACTTGTACCCTATCCAAGAGCTGCTGGAACTGCTCCGGTGTCATTTGTATAGCCGCCATTGTGGAGTTACGGGGACTTCTTCGGACTGGGAGTGATGCCGTTCTTTTCTGTCGTGGAATCTTGCCTTCTTCGAGCCGCGACGTTGGGCGATAGATTTGTAGAATGTTGCCTTCTTCGAGCCACTAAGTTGGGCGCCAGTTTGTGGTAGCTCAGCGGTTTATTGATAATAAGCAAACAATACAAAGCAAAATATGGGTATGGGTTATCGAAGTGGTGGCAATTCTCGTCGGGGATGGTGGCGGCTCCTGGGACTCAGAGCGTCGTAGGGGATGACGGCGGCGATGTATGTAGCACAGGGCACCTGGACAGTGCGACCCTGGAGATGACGACGTCGGCGATACGGCACAGGGGACCTAGAGAGTGCGACCCTGGAGATGACGACGTCGGCGATACGGCACAGGGGACCTAGAGAGTGCGACCCTGGAGATGACGACGTCGGCGATACGGCACAGGGGACCTGGACAGTGCGACCCTGGAGATGACGACGTCGGCGATGCGGCACAGGGGACCTAGAGAGTGCGACCCTGGAGATGACGACGTCGGCGATGCGGCACAGGGGACCTAGACAGTGCGACCCTGGAGATGACGTCGTAGAAGCGGCGCAGGGGGACCGTAAAACAGTGCAGCCCTGGTGAAGATCTCGAAGCGGCGCAGGGGACCGTAAAACAGTGCAGCCCTGGTGAAGATCTCGAAGCAGCGCAGGGGACCGTAACACAGTGCAGCCCTGGTAATAATATCGAAGCGGCGCAGGGGACCGTAACACAGTGCAGCCCTGGTGATCACCAGAAGGGGACCGAGACAGTGCAGCCCTTAAGGTGGAGATGGTGGAGTTCCATCTGCCTGGAAAGCGTCCGAGTTGCCCTTTTATAGGCAGGGTTGAGATGCGTGGGAGTACCTGCACAATGAAGTAACTTCAGGTGGGGTGCGTTCCAGTGGGGGGTGAGCTTGGTGGGGTTGATATCGGCGCTGCCGAGGACAGCGCCCTCGAAAGGGTACTAGCGGAGCGCTTTGAAAGCTCCGTTACAAAATGAAAATGAAAAATCGGGAAAATGAAAAATAAAAATCAAAAACTAAATAAAAATTCAGGAAACGAAAAATTAAAATTGAGAAACTGAAAAATTAAAAAATTTGAAAGGTCGAGAAATTGAAAAATTGAAAAAAATTAATTTGAAAAAACGAAAATTTACGGAACAGGAAAGGCGGAAGGGGAGACTTTATTTTTCGGACTCTCGAGGTCATGAAACGTCGAGAAAACATGAAAGTGACAGTGGCCCGTTAAAATCTAAAAATTGGAAATCGACAACTTGAAAAGCTGAAGGAACGAAAAATTGAAAAGCCGAAAGATAAAAATTGAGAAACTTAAAAATCGAAATTGTAAATCTAAATACTGAAAATAAAGAATTCGGAATATCATATAACTGGAAATTCAAAATTGCAAAATTGAAAAATTAAAAAAATTGGAAAAGCCAGAAATTGAAAAATCAAAGATTGAAAAATTTTCCGTTATTTATTTTGCATTGAATAAATAAAATTTTTCGTTGAATAAACGAAAAATTATAAAATTGAAAAGAACATTGAAAATACATACGAAATGAAAAAAAGAAAAATGGAAAAATTAAAAATTTAGAAACTGAAAAGTCCAAACTAAAAAAATTATAATATCGAAAAATTTGAAAGTTGATAAATGGAAAAATTGAAAGAATTAAAGTTGAAACAACGAAAAATTACGGAAGAGAAAAGACGGAAACGGGACACTTTTTTCGTCTCTAGTGGTCATGAAATGTGGAGAAAACAATAAAGTGGCAAGTCGCCCGGTGAACTCGCTTACTATACTACAAATTTCATAATCTACATATCTAAAAAATTGGCCGAAGATTATTTCGATTTTAAATGCCATTTTTTTTAATTACTAAAATTTGTGCGATTCTTGTTTTCTGAAAACCTCTATAAAGTAAGAACCAGTGGCGTAAATAACATTCCCACAGCTTTCTTGACTTGAATTTTACATTTTTTTTTGTTTTTTTGGGTTTTTCGATTTGCAATTTTTCAACTTTTCAAGTTTAAATTTTTCAGTTTCTTCAATTTTTCGATTTGAAATTTTTCATTTTTTCTTGTTCAATTATATGACATGCAACTCTTCGAGTTTTCATTTTAAAATTCTTCAGTTTTTTGATTTTCCATCTTTTGGATGTTACAGTTTTTGGATGTTTCAGGAGTTTTCAATTTAAACATCTTAGTATGTTTCCATTTTTCAATCATTGAATTTAATTTTTTTTACTTATTCGTTTTTTCAATTTTTCGATTTTTAATTTTTCAATTTCTCAATATTTAATGTTTCAACTTTTCGATCTTGTTACAGGTTTTTAACTTTCAAATTATTCCGATTCTATAATTTTTCGATTTTACAATTTTTGGGTCTTCCAATTTTTCGGTTCGATTCGTTTTTTCTTCATTCTAATTTTTTGATTTATGAATTTTTTGGATTTTTAAGTTTTTGCTTTTTAGTTTTTCAATGTTTCAATTTTTCTTCGATTTACGATTTTTCCATTTTCTGCTGTTTTGATTTTGCAATTTTTCAGTTTTTTGATTTCTCAATTTTTTATTTTTCAACTTTCCGAATCAAAAATTGGAAGAATTGAGAAATTGTGATACTGAAAAATCAAAAATGAAAAAACGAAAAAGAATAAAATGAAAACTTTGAAAAATCTAAAAATTGGAAATCAAGGACTTGGATAATTGAACAAACAAAAATTGAAAAGTCGAAAGATTAAAAATTGAATTAAAAAAACGAAATATGTATTGTTTAATTGTAAAATCTAAATACTGGAAATTCAAAAATTGCAAAACTGAAAAATTTAATAACTGCAGAATGAAAGATTGAATATTTTTCGCATATTCAGTTTTTCAATTGTTGTTGAATAAACGAAAAATTGTAAAATTGAAAGAAACATTGAAAATTAAAGGAAATGAAAAACCGAAAAATTGTGATACAAAATCAAGAAAATGAAAACGAAAAAATCGGAAAAATGAAAAATAAAAATCAAGAATTAAATAAAAATTGAGGAAACGAAAAATTGAAAAATCGAAAAATCAAAAATTGAGAAGCTGAAAAATTGAAAAAATTTTGAAAGTCGAGAAATTGAAGAATTAAAAAAAGTTGAAAAAACGAAAAATTACGGAACAGGAAAGATGGAATCAGACATCTATTTTTTCGTACTCTAGAGGTCTTGAAACGTCGAGAAAACATGAAACTACAAGTCGACCGATGGACTCGATTACTATACTTTCTTAGTTTACGCTTACGAAGTAAAAATTAGATTTGTTGAATTTGCTTCAGAGACGAGGAAGGTTCTTTTTAAATTACTTTAGTCCAGTTTTTCAGTAGTGAGTGACCGACAAGTCCACACATTTTCTTTGACACAGATATAAAATTATTTATAGGTGGTAATCAAATACAGAGAAATGAATATCTGCATGCATGTAAATAAAGTAGTAACGAGAAGAATACGCTCATTTCTCTTCCTGTAATGCATTAAAATTCTGAATTAATTAGAAAATAAAAAACTGTGTGCAATCAGTCGTTTCGAATTACATCATACAGAGTGTTCCGTCTCTACAGGACGATAAAATTATTTAAAACTACTGCTTTAATAGAAAATGGGTTATACAATCACAAAATTTAGGTATAGCTCTCAAAATTATTATAATTGTCCCTTAGCTTAGGAAGTATATAATTGATATCCTTTTTAAAATGTGAGCTTTGATGTTTCTATGAAAGAGAGAATTTGATGGAAAAATTTAAACTTATTACTCGCGGAAATAGTCAGGATGCTAGATAGAACATAAGCATGTTAAAATGGTATGAAAGATGAGAAAGTTACCTAATAAAAAAAGCAGGCAACTTGAGGCAGTGTGATAAAAAATAAATTATGTAGTAAATTTAGAGAAAAAAAAAGTCGAATTACTACCACGTCGACTAATGAGACGAAATTTTTGAATCCAAATTGTCTTCAAGGTTGTTTACATTTTTGAACGTATTTCTTCGAGATATTTTTGGCAAATGAAAATCCGGCTCCCAAACAATGTCATTGACCGTTTTCGCTTTAATTTGAACCATTGAACGATGAAAGTTCAAATATTTTAATTAAATTACGTGACGACAACCACAATTTTGTCTTTTTTGTGAAATCCATTGAACGCCTAACAAGAAACTGTATATCGTTATAAGCAATAGAGTGAAATCGCCCATTAATTTTTGCAGAAATAATTGTATCATAAACGACTTCGACGCAACCCATCACAGTTTGCGCGAAAACCCCATTTCTTTCCTTCCACAAACACGAATTCCAGAGCAGATCGCGAACTTCTCTTTCGCGTCCGCGGCACCAAATTTACTTTCATATGCTACACATACACCTGAAGCCGAATTCTTTCTCCCGGTGAAAATCCCCTTCTAACCATTCCGCTCGCGATAATTTGTATTCCATCGAGCGTGCCATCCGACTTCCATTGTTTTGTTTTTTCAGGTGACCCACCGAGTAACAGGCCAAGTGATGGTACTAAAAATGAACCTGTTGCGCTCGAACCGCCGCAACATGCTGAAGGAGGTGCAGCTGATGAACAAATTGTCCCATCCAAACATCCTCAACCTGATGGGAGTATGCGTCCACGAAGGCCAACTCCACGCTCTCACCGAGTACATCAACGGCGGCTCCTTGGAGCAGCTCGTCCAAAACAGGAGCGTGGATTTGCCCCAGCCGACGAGGGTCTCGCTAGCCAGGGACATTTCCTACGGGATGAGTTACCTTCATTCCAAGGACGTCTTTCACAGGGACTTAACAAGTAAAGTAAGTGAGGAACGGTGCTTGGAATCGCACCGGTAAGAGATGAATTAAGAACTGTTTTTTCGTACTGTTAGTTCACCTGAGCGAGAGCGGAGAGAGCGGGAGGATGAGAGTGATTCGAGTGCACTTGTGACACAAAGTTTGTGTTATTGAAAAAATAACAGCGCTGGGTTAAAAAAAAAACCTCCACCTCGCTTGTGTGGCATTCTTTCGGTTGTTTCCTTTAAATGAAAAAAAAAGAAGTTGAATCATATTTTGCATTTTAATATTAAAACCAAGAATTTCCTTCAGATTGTCTTTGAATTTGTTTCGAAATAAATTTCTACCTTTGTTTTACGTATAAATTCGGTTTTCTTTGTTTGCCACCATTGGGATTTGAAAACGATAAGATGTCTCAACTCCGTTAAATCAGAAACGTTGCACTTATTATTTAATCGTTTACTCATTTTTATATTAATAATGTTTATCACAAAATTTTTACCATTACAATAGTTTAAATGTAATGTGAAACACGTTCGGCAGTTTTATTCTTACCGTATCGAACTTCAGACTATTTTTGCCTGATATTTTGCGTTAAAACTCGTTTAATTTATTTTTTCAAAATTTCCATCTACTTGTAAAAAATCCTTCGTTATGTATTCTCTAATCATAAAAAGTTCGTTCATTTTCCAACCTGTGATTCATTTAATCATGACAACCTTTCCTTGGTATCATCTCTACGGATGGGATATTCTTAAAATCTGTCGAGAAATCTTCCTAGACCATGAAACTAGTTTACGTTTTCAGAGTATTGTTTTTGAATGAAATGTTCCAGAACTATCTGGATTCTTCATAAACTGTCTTCTCTCTTTAATATCAGTTCTTACTTTGAAGTTTTCGTGTTATCTTTTGTTGTCGTTGGCAAGTCTGAAATTTTTTCATATTTTTCTACGTTCTTTATTGAGAGTGGACCTACTCTACTATCAAAGCTTTCCAATCTTTATTGAGTTGAAATGTTTCTGTCTCTGTTTGTTCTCAGATGAAAAACTTCTACACTATTGCCTTCAGATCTTTGAATGTTCTAAAATTTAATAAAAATTTTCAATTTTCCAATTTTCTTTTTTTAATGTTGTACCTATTTAGACTTTCTGTTCACAAGGATAACGTTCCTTCTTAGTAGAATATGTCATAGTTTTCTTAAAACTTTGTCCATGTTCCGGTTTTTTGAACTTCCAGAGTTCTAGAACTTTCTTGAAACGTTGTCCCTTACTTTCTTTCCTCCACTTCAATCACGTACTGAAGCAGAAATTTGTCCATATATCTTCTTTCAAAGTACATAGTGAGAATCGAAATTCTTCTGTTTTTTCTCATCCAAATAGAATTTTTTTAGAACCAATTATTTTCTCTATTCTTCTTCAAATCCGCTAATTTTACGTTTTCTACTCCCACTGATTCTAACAATTTGACTTCTGACTGGTGGACTTTCCAAAAATTCCAGAAACTTAACAACTTTACATTTAATACACCAATAAAGAGTACCTTTGCTCTTAAACGTCGTTCTTTTTCTTTGTTTGGGCCTACTGCACTGCCTATTACTGTGCTTTTTAAATTTCTGAAGCACTGATCTCTTCTTGAGTGCCGATCATCACCAGAACTTCCTCGACTCTACCCTTTCGGACGTAGGTAGATTAACGTTCGCTTGCATGAACCGTCGTCATTGGTTATGCATATATAGGGCGATGCAAAAAAGGTGCACAAACTCAACTATACATTATTAAGTTCACAAGTCTTAAGTTCAATAAAAATTATTAAAAAATTCCTTAATCAATTTGACGTTCACTTACAGAAATAAAATATCGAAATAAGTCTTCCGTTTCCGTCTGTCTGTCTTGTCAACTGTCTGTCTGGATTATTACTAGACAGATAAATTTCGAAAGTAATGAGTAGAGTCCGGAATTTTATGCACGAAATTTGGCCAAAATTTTATGCAGAAAAAATAAGAAAATATGGTTTAATTTTATGAAAATATGCAAAATTTTTATAAAAATACGCACACATTTTGTACTTTTTTTTATTGAGTATACAATAAATTGGTAGTGTATCCACAAGTCTAATAGGTTTAATTTAAAGCAGTATTGTGCCATATTCTAAAAACTTTATTTTACAAAAAGAAACACAACTAAATAACAATTATTTGTAAAAAACGAGTACAGTGATACATCAAAAAACACTTGAATGTCTACATTAATGTTATAACTTGCAATTATATGTTTCTCAATGTTTTCAATTAAAAAATTACGTCGTCTATCAGACAAAATTTGTTTATAGGTAGAGAAACTCCTCTCTACATTCACTGATGTAATGGGTGCATACTTACGAGCGCTAATTAAATTTGGTTCTGTGTTAATCTCACTACTAGAATCTCCATTATGTATTTTAGCTACTTTTGATAACAAACTATAACCTTGATTCTTTTCTAGTACTTCCTTAAACTTTTTATTTATAAGTTGTCCTATTTTTCCCTTTACTTTTTTAATGCTTGTTTGGAATTATATTATATTCAACAGAAATAAAATCGTTAGAATGAGAACAGTGTCGGTGGGCGGGGCTAGTACCTGCTAAAATAAGAACGATTTTGGCAAATGACATGCCTTCTAATAAAAGAGAGGGTGGGTGGGCGGGGTTAGTCCCTTTTAAAATAACACCGATTTTGGCAAATGTAACTTCCAGCATTTTTCCAGAATCACCAATTGAAATGTGGCAACTTTTAAGATTATTAAAAAAAATTAAATTTCAAACCGGATATTTCCAAAATCTCGCCCCAGTATCATAAACACGCTACATTTTTCCAATTGGCATGTCAAAATGTATATCTCAGAATTGTTTGGGATTTTTTAAGCAACTTTTTTAAAAACTCACTTTTTCAATACACTCCATTTTGAAATTTTTGATTGTTTTTGACAATTTTCGAAATTTAACCAAAGACATTGTCTTGTAGATTTCGACATATAGAAGTTAAAAATGCTGACACTTGCAAAAAGTTCGCGTTATGTTTTGAAAATCTAAAAATTGTCAAAATATGCAAAAGATACGAAAATATGTGAAAAATCTTGATTAATGCAAAATTGTAAAATTTAATATACGTCAATCAATTCATATTTACCTAATTCGCATAGATCCGAAAGCATTTAGTTGTAGTATGGACAGCCATCAATATGCAAATCTCATAAATTCCGGACCTTACTAATGAACCAATTGTCAAATTTTGTATATATTTTAGGAATTTCATGTAGATGGTAAAACGTTAACCTAAATAGATCTAATCATTGTCACTAACAACGTGATCACATTCTCTCAAAATTTTGTACAATAAACAAAATTAAATTTCATAAAATAGTATACCCCCACACTTGTGCTTTATGAGTCCGCCCTCTTGTTTTTTTGTCGTTGTCGTGCAGTATGGAGGTCTGGTTTGTAAATGAAAGGTTAGTGGTTCGAACCGACAGCATATCTAATTTTTTTTTATCAAATCGAGAACGCTTCACCCCATTTTCTCCAAAATATGTATAAGAATGCAGAAGTGTCGTGCCCGTCCATATTTAATAATGATAATAATAATAATAAAAAGAGTGCCTCGACACAGGGACGCACGGATGGAGTTTTAACTCTGCGTTGTCAATTTAGTTAAATTAAACACGTATACCTGGCGAAGTCATTAATTTTCTCTTAAAAAATAATAAAAACCAAAAATATGTGGGCTTTGTATTTTTTGACAAAATGATGATGATTGGGTTAATTCAAGTAAATATCCATGTATTGTCAATTGTTGTTTATTATAAAATATACTTTTTTTATTTATTTATCATAGAAATATCATAATTAATTATTATAATAATAGACAGCATTTTACTAATTACGTTTTCGTTAATTGTATTTATGGAATAAGTGGCGATTAAATTCAGTGATTATCACCCGGCGATCCAGCGCGTCGTGATTACATTTGTTCAGACTGGTGTCGGTGCCGGTGTCGAACTCGGTCGGTGTTGAACTAGACATCCTATTCCGGCGCGCGTCGCATACGTGTTCTATAATACGAAAAAAAAAGGAATTAAAACTCCAAAAACAAGCATCATATTAACATCTCCTTCCCCAAAATAATATTTTTACTGCATTGTAACTTAATTAATCGTCTCACTTGTCACTCGAAGTTAAGCATGTTATTAAGTATTACTGAGAGGACATTTTTTCCCGTTGATTATCTGCATATTTTATATTAAGCCCCCCCCCCCCCCCCCCCCCCCCCCCCCAATGCCCCTCACGGCGAGGGGCTGCGGGGTTTTGATCGCAAAATCAATTTTATAATAAGAAGGATTTGTAGGACTGTGTTACAAGCGCGAGGGAAATAAACTTCGACCAATTTTCAATTTTTTCGAGACATAAAAATGAAGAAAACGATCAATAAAAGACGATATTTCAAAAATTACATATTTTGAATAATGAAAGCCAAATCGATTTCATATACCCAACACAAAATGTGTAGTGATTTAAACTATGGTCAAATGTTGAAAATTTTAAGGTATATTCCTTTTACATTTTGACCCAGAATTCTTCAGATTATTTTTTCTTTGCTGAACAAACAATTCTCTGCAACGTGTTGTAGAGTTGGTGCGCCTTTGCTGAATCACTCTGTATTTGTGAGCTATATTAAATCCGTCAGACAGTTGTATATTTTATATTTTGCCTTTTTTTTTCTTAATATACATAGTATTTTTTGGACAACACGGTACTCAAAAACATGTTTTTGATTTTTTGTGAAGAAATAAGTATTTTGCAGTTAAGTTCCGCTCTCTTGATTCACGGCGAATAAAAAAAATCATCACAATCGAGATAGGGCGGGTGGGCGGGTGGGCGGGCTTACATGTTGTCTTTTTGTTTTAATGTGTGTAGACTTCTTTTCACATCAGGAAACTTAAAACATGTTTAAAATGGAAAATCTGTATAAAGAAATATCGATTCGTCACAATTGAGAATTGGGATCGGGGTGGGTATGGGTGGGGCCTAATCTTTGGCTTTATTTTTTTCTTAATATACGTAGTATTCTTTGAACAACACGACACTCAAAACCATGTTTTTAATTACTCGTAAAAAAGTAAGGATTTTGCAGTCAAGCCCCGCCTTCTTGGCTCACGACGAATATAAAAAAATCATCACAATTGAGACAGGGTGGGTGGGCGGGGCTACATTTTTCCTTTTTTTCTTAATATGTGTAAACTTATTTCGACAACAAGAAACGTAAAACATGTCTAAAATGGTAAATTTTTGTGGTAATCAACTTAAATCGTCCACTTTTTTTTATAAATGTAGTAGTGATCACATGAAAGTCGCATGAACGACCTGCGCTGAAGCCCTATTGTGTTGTGTCCGGCTTCATGACGTGTGTTTTCTAACCAAGTGGAACGATGGATTCACTTTTATTACATCTTCAAAACCATGTTCTTTCCAAGTCTTGTTTCTTGTTTTTCAAACATCCTCTACTCATACTCCATTTTCTTTCTTTTTTTGGAAAATCTATATTTAGAGTGCCTAATATACAGGTGTCTCAGATAAAATTCCGCAGCCTAATATATTGAGAATGGATATGGTATCGTTAGTTGATCGGTAATTAAAATCGGCGTGGATAAAACTCAACAGTTTATTTCTCAGTAACTCAAATTTACAAGACTAATTGCACAGCGATTATGTACAAAATAATTCCGGCGCAACTTGACTGGATTCTCTCTTCACTGAATTGACGGAATAATTCGTTCCCGAGGTGGTCTCTATTTAAACCCACACGTTCCTCTGGATGGTTCTGAATTTCAGCAGTGTTTTACGTAATTAATTATGTGTTAAATCCGTTAAAAAAGATATACATTGCAAATTGCAGCCTAAACAATCAAGGCTAAAACACTGGCGTTTACAGAATTTCAATATTTCTATTCGTTTTTAAGTTGTAAGACTCCGGAGTTTTATGTGGGATACCTGTATACGTCATATTTGCAGTGTACTGAATTAAGCTTTCCCCTTCGAGCTAAAAACAACAGCGTTTACGAAATTTCAATATCGCTATCCGTTATATAAGGCGTCGGAGTTCCATTTGGGACACCTGTATACAGGATGTTGAAAAAATGGCGCACCAAATCAACGGTAGATTATTAAATGCACAAGTCTAAGTTTGAAAAAAATCGCTAAAAAATTCCTTACGTCAATTTAACGTTCATTTACAGAAAAATGTCGGTTTGGACCTATCTAAACTCTAAAAATTAGCCACACTTTTCCAGTTCATCCTAAACAATTTTTAAGTTTTTTGTTATATTATAAAATGAAGAAAACTGTGGATGAAAACAAGATATGTACCTCCAAAATTATTTTGAATACTGGGAGTCTAATTGATTTCATGTATGCAACACTAAGTAGTGGTGAATTAGAATATGGTGAAATATTGAAAATAAAACTTAAATTTTGAAGGGCTATATTTTCTACATTTGGGCCCAAGAATTTTATCATTTTTTTTTTTGTTCTATGAACAGACCTCAACAACGTGTCATAAGAGTGGGTACGCCATTTTTTCAGCACCCTGTATAATCGTGGACGAACCTAGGTAGTTTATATGTTATAATCAGACTTCGGCGTAGCGGAAGTGATGCTCATTGCCGTCCTATCACCAGCGCTATTGCAGTCGTGGCCTACAACTTCGGGAATTAATAACAATTACTACTTTTTCTAGGTTTTCCTCAGTTATACGAGTTCTCCTAGATGTTAAAATGCTTTAAAAATTAAAAATGACTGTTCAACATCACAATTTTCGTGATGATCTTGATCAGATAAACCCTGAAACTGAGGTTGAGACTGCACAGTCGGCCAGCCAAATTTCTCGTCTAACGTCACGCCGTCGTTTTTAATCTTTGTCTAATTGATTCCCCATCACTTCGGCTGTGCCTAACTGTGGTCATAATATACATATATAAAATTAATTTATCCACCAGCAACATTGAGTAACTAATGGGTTGCCGTGATTACGGTATTGTTACTTTACCGCACTCCGTAGTGAGTGGGAAAAGTTAGTTTCTCGTATTCATTCCCTAAAACAAATAAATATCTTTTCATGTATGTATTGAAAAAAATCCCATAAACGTAAATAAAATTTTGTGCATAGTACGTGGGTTAATATTATCTTTCACGATTGGCTAGAGTGGTCGGCTAGCGTCTACTTGTGATCAAATTTCACACTCATGGATAATAACCCTCTTATACCACCGGTAACGTAAATAACTATTATTCCATTGAGGCAATGACAGTTATTACCATAAGTGTGCAGTAATGACACTTAATTACCGCACTGCCTTGGTAATACACATTGTTCTATCGATACGTCTTACATTTGAACTATGAAATTAAGGAAAATGTGGAATTAACTGAATTAGTGAATATTATTATTATTCAAAGATAAGTTGCATATGCAACATGTACGCTAATATTATTGTCGTACATTGCTATTAACCACATTTCTTCCAGAACGTCCTCATCAAACGCCTGGAATCCGGCGATCTCCAGGCCGTCGTCGGCGATTTCGGCCTCGCGAGCACCTTCCCCGACGGCAAAACCAAGCTATGTACGGTAGGATCGCCGTACTGGATGTCCCCCGAGTGCCTGAAAGGTCAATACTACGACCAACAAAGTGATGTTTTTAGTTACGGAATAGTATTATGCGAACTGATAGCACGCGTAGAAGCCGATCCGGACCAATTGCCCAGGACTGACAATTTTGGTCTCGATTACCTAGCGTTTACCGAAATGTGTGGACAGAACGTTGTACCTGAATTTTTGAACCTGGCGTTTCGATGCTGCACCATCACTCCAAGCAGTCGACCGACATTCAATGAGATCGTCCACATATTGACCGACATCCTGGCCGATCTGCAGCATGCCGCCGACCGGGAGCAGGCGAAGCTGGCGAGCTGCGCGGCCAAGAGCGAGGAGCAGTTGCCGATGCTCTCGGTGCAGGCGTCTGCACCGCAACACAGAAAGAGTGAGTATTTGGGGATGGTGGTTTATGGCCTTTACGTGCGGAGAGCTATTCGTTGAATTGAATAATATATAGTTTCGTATCTTGTTGACATTGTGTAGTTTCTAGAAAATGAAAAAGTAGGTGCTCCGTTTCTGTACATGTAGAGTTATTTAGACAGATTTTGTTCTACTTGGATATAAATTGTAACATACAATTTTGAGCCAAAAGAGAAGGGAGAAAAGGAGAACACGAAATTTTTGCGCCACCAATTACACAATTGTCACAGTGGTAAAGTGTATAAATTACACAAAATGTAGAAACAGTCTGAGTTGGTAGTTGGCCAAACTCGATTCAAATCATAGCAGACATCTACCATAATTTATTCACTTTATGGTTTTCTTGGAAACGAAATGAAAAATTCTAAACCTTGCTTTTGCCTAATGCTCGCATTTTACAAGAAATTTTTTTTACATAGTCACGCAAATATCCCACCAATGAAAAGTATTAGCATAAACTAGCTTTATAAATAATGACCAGTATTTTTTTTCTGATGTAAATATGAAACCTCCGCAATACACCATTCACGAAATGTCACCCTTAAATATCCCTGGAAAATAACAACCTGTCTGCGTAAACTGGCAACTCGAGCTACAAACTCGAACATCTCAAATAACCGTATTTCAAAGGAATCCTGGCATTCGTCGGCTTTGAATGTGGCACAATTTACATAAAAAACATAATTTGCACTATTGATGGGCCTGCAGTGATTTTCTGCGCAATAACGAACGAGCGTTAAGATTTTTTTTTGTGATAGTGGCACGACAGCAATAAACTTTGATGAATATAAAACTAATGGAGACTTCGCCAATTACAGTTCTACACAGGAAACATTAAGTTGATAATTTTGAAAAATTAACCACGATTTCGATTTAGTGTCATTTGCATGTGCAATAATTCATAGTAACGTGCATGCATATGGTGAGGTTTTATTGCTTTGAACTTTGTATGCACTTTTAAAAGCTTGCGGATATTGTATGCAACGAATCTTGATTTATTTCCTCGTTGCTGTGTGTGCTTCATAGTAAAAGCTCAATTTATGACGCGAAATACTATCCTCGAGGAATTTCAACCCCGTTTTATGGATTGTCTATATTCTGAAAAAAGTTAATGTATATTTAAAAACAACGTAAAGATAACTTAATTGTCAAAAGCCAAAGGTGTGTGTGATTTGGTTACTAAGTAATGACTGAGATAAAAATTCTTATCTTTTTTGTTTTCGCTGTCTTACGAGAACTTGACGTGCATATTGTAAATTTTCTGTCTTAATATCCCGTAGTAATTTTATTATCAGAGTTAATAACCCAAGAGCACTGATAATTAAGAAATAATTTTATTACAGATTCGAAGGTTCGTTGCTGGGTTACACCCCGACGCCTAAAGGGCAATTTCCAGTTCAAACTAAATTATTTATGAAAAAAGATTGATGAAAGTACAGCTGAATCCTCCCATTATTATATTATATTCATGGCGACATTTTTTTGCAATAACTCGTAGCTTTCGATACATTTTAAGCGGTTAAAGTTGGCACAATCGACTGCCTAATTTTGCTACTTTCAGTATTTCTGCATTTTCTTCCACAGTTTTGTTAATTATTTACATCATCAAACTGTGAAAGCGAGATTTAAAGAAACCATTAATTAATTTTAACACCGTCACGTATATTTTACATGGTAATTTTAAACGATCGGGCGATAACTATTCAAAAATCTCTCGGATAAATATTATCTTAATTGGTTAATTTAACTCACATTATTAAAAGTAGATCGATTTGAATGCATTTTTGTTTAAGAAAAAAAATCAGGTTAATGCTTGTGTACATAAGAAATCGCGAAACAAAAATTAGTTATAGTAACGTTATTAAGCTTGTTTTATGATCGAGTAACAAGCTCAACAACCAATAACAATGCGCAGCGGCATACCCAGACAGAAATCATGCTGCTAAAATGTATTTAATCGAATAAGTGACCCACATACTCCAGATATAGCGGGATAATCCTAGTACAGGGCTACATGATCTAGTAATTGAGATAAATTAAATAAATAATAAAGAAAAACGATTTCATTGAGAAACAAACAAAATTATAGGACTTAAAGTTTGTTCCTATTTAGCCTTGTTTTTGTTGTTGTAGTTCTCATCAAGAGACAGTTGTAACTTTTTTTAGTTTTCGTGTATTTTCTATAACCTTACTACAGAATTTTTATTGGTTTGAACAGTCAAGGCCATTTCATGCACAAATAGACCGTGATTTATTTCTGATTTCCGCAGAAATTAATTTTATTCTTGGCAGCCCTAGATTTAATTCAAAAATAGCCTCGGAATTTTGTAATAGGTATATTGAAACTTTGTTTCATGAAAAATTGGACAAACCGCAACATTCTTTGATCACTGGAATTCTACAACAAATGAATCACGTACATATACACAGTGACTTAACAATCAGAGGTTTTCTCGACTCTATGGAAATATAGAAATCGGAAATATGCCAGCAAATAATTTCTCTTTGTTCTAAAATTATCTCCATTGTGAAATTATTTTATTTTTTGGCGACTTGCAAATCCTTGATATAAATCAAAGAATGAATGTTGTCTGTGTTGAATTGTTTGTTGTAAGGCACATTTACAAGCTGTTGCATATATTTTATATATATAAAAAAAACACGACAGTATGTTGTTTCATAACCAGAGTATGCGTTATTTAATTTATCTTTTTTGTGGTTGTGGTTTGGAAAATTTAATACAAATACGTTAATTTATAATATGTTATTCGTTTCTTTGCCTGCAAGAGCTTTGTTGCAAAGATTAGTCCTAAGTATCAAGGATTTTAAGTTATCCCGGTTTCAGTTATCGAGGTCCGACTGTATTTTGTCTAGAATTTGTGTTAATCTTATACTTAATCCAACAATTTGTGACGGATAAAAATATAAGGCATTTGAAAACTATTTACGACTCCAATAGATTTGTTTTTTAATTATAAACCCAGAGCCTTCGAAGATTTTTGTACATCATTTTATTTTAAGAAAATTGAGAACTTTTGGCTTGTGTACCATTTTGTTAATATTATTTAGACAATTTTTTTTCTGGCTTCGACCCTAGCGAAGGTGTAGCACAAGGTTCCACTCTAGGCCCTTTATCGTATCTTGTTTTTTTCAACGATATTTCATATATCCAGATAACCTAAAAATACTTAATGTAATACTGCATTGAACTTCAGGATAATACGGATAAACTGCTAAGCTGATGTAATACGAATTATCTTCTGTTAAATGTACCCAAGTGTAAAGTATTAACGTCTTTATAGAAAAACACGACTAATCGCTATTATTATTTTTTGTGAATTTTTAGTCAATTTTTTCAAGAGTTCTATTTCTCAATACTTCTTTAATGAAAATTTCGACCTTTTTCGATCACCTTTGAAAATTACGTAAAGAAATTTTTTTCTAGATTTCGACTTCCAGAAGTTGTTTTCGGCTTCATTTCTTCGATAATTGCTAGGATTTTTCTAATGAAATGTGGCAATTTTTACAATAAAAAACTTTCAAAGCAAATATTTCTAAAACACTGTTCCAGGACCTTTAACACGCTATATATTTTTTAATTTGTACGTTAATATCGATATCTCAAATTTTTTATTTTTTGTGAATTTTTAGACACTTTTCCAAAAGCTCATTTTTTCGATACTCCCTTGTTATGAAAATGTTAACCGTTTTACTATCATATTCGAAAATTACCTCAAGAGATTTTTTTGTAAATTTCGGCTTGCAGAAGTTACATACTTTCAGGTTGATTTTTTTTTTTTTTAAACGCCACTATTTTTCCAGAATCGCCCGTTGAAACAGGGCAATATGTAAGATTTTAAACAAAAAAACCCGTTTCAAAGCAAATATTTTTAAAATCTTGTTCCAGGACAATAAAGATGCTGTAGTTTTAGAATTACCACGCCGAAATCAATTTTTCAGATTATTTGTGAATTTTTAGAATGTTTTTCTGAAAGCTCAATTTTTCAATTCTTCCGTTATGAAAATTTTGAACTTTTTTTCGAAAATTTTTTTTGAAAATTAGCCTAAAATTTTTTTTTTCGAGATTTCGGCTTCCAGAAGTTTTTTTGGCCTGATTTCCTCGAAAACTCTTACCATTTTTTCAGAATCATCCAATGAAATGAGGCGATTTTTAGAATTTAAAAAAAAATTATTTTCAAAACGAATATTTCTAAAATGATGATCCAGCATCTTAAACACGCTATATTTTTCAAATCAGTACGTCAAGGTCCATAGCCAAGATTTTTTTGGGAATTTTTAGACAAATTTTTAAAAGACCAATATTTCAATACATACTTCTCTAATAAAAATTTTGACCCTTTTTCGACCACCCTTGAGAATTACCTAAACAATCGTTTTTCTAGATATCGACTTCTAGAAGTTGTTTTCGGCTTCGTTTTTTCGAAAATTGCCACGATTTTTCCAAAAGCACTCAATGAAATGAGGCAATTTTTAGAATAAAAAAAAGTTTCAAAACAAATATATTTCTAAAATACTGTTCCAGAACATTGAACACGCTATATTTTTTAATCTGGACGTTATGATCGACAATTTTTCAAAAGCTCATTTTTCGATATTCCCTTGTTACGAAAATTTTGACCTTTTTACTACCGTATTCGAAAATTACATCAAAAAATTTTTTATAAGTAAATTTAGACTTTCCGAAGTTGTTTTCGGCTTCATTTTTTCGAAAATTGCTAGGATTTTTCTAAAATCGTCCGATGAAATGTGGCAGTTTTTAAAATAAAACAAAAATTTCAAAACAAATACATATTTCTAAAATACTGTTCCAGGACATTTAACATGCTTTATTTTTTTAATCTGTACGTTAAGATTGATTTCCCAACATTTTTTTGAGGAATTTTTAGGCAACATTTTCAAAAGCTCATATTTTTTGGATATTCCCTTGTCACGGAAATTTTTACCCTTTTACTACCATATTCGAAAATTACTCAAGAGATTTTTTTGTAAATTTTGATTTTCAGATGTTACTTTCGGCTTGATTTTTTTCGAAAACCGCTACTCTTTTTCCAGAATCGCCCGTCGAAGTAGAGCCATATTTAAGATTTGGAACAAAAAACCCCTTTCAAAGCAAATATTTCTAGAATCTTGTTCCAGGACAATAAAAATGCTATAATTTTAGAATCACCACGCAGAAATCTTTTTCTCAGATTTTTTGTGAACATTTAGAACTATTTTTTAAAAGCTCAATCTTTCAATACAAAACTCACTTGACATACACCTTGTAAAACTTTTATGACTTAAGCGGCTTAAGTCAAACACACTTATAAGTCAAACTTTCGACTTCTAGAAGTTGTTTTCGGCTTTATTTTTTCAAAAATTGCTAGGATTTTTTTACAATAAAAAAACTTTCAAAGCAAATATTATCTTAATCTATACGTTAAAATCGATATCCGAATTTTTTTTAGGATTTTTAGACACTTTTTCAAAAACTAAAATATGTGATAATTTTGAATATTTGGGAATAATTATGGAGACTTCGAATTATGTATAGAAATCCAGTTACCTTCTTTTACACTATACAAAACAGATTCCACACGGACGCAAAAATGTTTGTTGACAACTATAGTATAAAAAATATCAAGAATAACCTAATGCTGTGGACAACATTTTGTTGGAAGAAATAAATTATTATTATTATATATTATATTATGTATATGTGCATATTACTTCTCTGCAGAAAATAATAGTTTTTTTAAGAATGTTAACTTTTACATTTACTACAATTTATAGTAGTGCTTGAAGATTTTAATCTAAAGATTTTTGAGAAAAAAAATATCTGTCTAGACAAGAATTATTAAAAATATAGCAATTCCAGTGTTTTATCCGGAATTTAATAAACAACGCTCGTATATGACAATTATGACATTACATGAATTTGAAAATGCACAATTTTGTTTTAAGCTTTTAAAATATGAATTAATTTGGGATCATTATTATTTTTTTAGTTATTTAATAAAGTGTGGACTGGAATTTTTATAATAATACATATATAGAAATTAAAAATCCATGTCTATAATTTAATATGCAACACTCTTGTAGAGATCGCACAAGTAATATCTGATTTTCTGTTCCCAAGTTCAAGATTAATCACTCGCTGTAAGGAAAATCTATTAAAAAACACTGCCACTAAAAAATTTACGTTGTTGTACATAAAAAAAATTGGAAACATGCCCGCTATGTAATCAATCATTAACTAGCTACGTATACAGGGTGTTTCTTTTGTTTGATACAACCCCTGTAACTTTTTTATTCTTAAAGATAAACCTGTAGTTCTTGGATCAAATTTGTATCATTTTATAAGATCTATGTGATGGCGACCTCACATTTTAGAACCCGAAATGACGTCAACTTTTTTTATGGAACATATAGATATATTTTTTCATAAATGGAAAGATTTAATACTTTAAAAGTTATTCAACAAAATAGACGAAAAATTCATATTTATTGATGGACAATCTATAGTAGCTTGAAAAATTGACACTCATGTCATTTATTTACATAAGTGATCTTTTAGAATGATACAAATTTGCTCAAAGAACTATATGTTTATCTTAAAAAATAAAAAAATTACAGACATTGTATCAAATAAAAGAATCACGTGGTATAAACAGTATAAATTTTAAACCATCTTGGATAAACAGTGTACCGGGTGATGAAGTTTAAGCAATTGTGAAGTTTCTTTATATTTTTTGAATTGAATACCAACCGGTGTTCGGATTATTCGAATATTGTAAAGCTTAGAATACAAAATAAGTCAAAAACACAACCTCCAAAGCCTATTATGCAAAATATACGAGATGAATTTTGCCGCTTCGTTGTGATGGTTGATGACTAATTTTCGTCAGTCATAACCTAACTTTCATAAGATTTTCAGTGTTTGTCCAATAGTAGGCAACCAATAATTCAGCTCTAATGATTGAATTGATAATGATCAAGAAGGAACGGCAAATTTTTATTCAAAATATAGTGACAAATTTTTGAAAGCTAATTTGATGTATGATTTCCTAAAATCACTTTGTATTTTTCTGTTTAAAAAATATCTAGCAAAAGAAAAGGGGTGCGTTGGCGATACTTGCAAGTACTATCCCGCCCACCCACCCTCTTTTTTTTTAAGAGTATACCATTTGCCAGTCTTATTTTAGGAAGTACTAGCCTCGCCCACCCACCCACTATTTTCTTGGAGGGTATATAATTTGCCAAAATCAATCTTATCTTAGCCAGTACTAGCCCCGCCCACCCGCTCTCTTTTTTTCTTAGAAGATATATCATTTGCCAAAATCAGTCTTATCTTAGGAAGACTGACTTTGGCAAATTATAGACTTTTTAAAAAATAGAGGGCAGGTGGGCGGGCTAGTACTTATTAAGAGATGATGATTTTGGCAAATGATATACTCTTTAAAAAAATAAGGGGTTGCGTTGGCGGTACTTGCAAGTACTACCCCGCCCACCCACCCTCTTTTTTTAAGAGTATATTATTTGCCAAAATCAGTCGTATCTTAGAAAGTACTAGCCCCGCCCACCCGCCCTCTTTTTTTGTTGAGAACATCATTTGCCAAAATCAATCTTATCTTAAGAAGTATTAGCCCCGCCCACCCACCCTCTTTTTTATTAGAGGATATATTATTTGCCAAAATCAGTCTTATCTATCTTAGGAAGTACAGTACTTTTTAAGATACGACTGATTTTTGCAAATGATATACCCTCTAAGAAAATAAAGGGTGTACTTGTACTTGTTAAGATAAGGCTGATTTGGGCAAATCATATACTCTTTAAGAAAATACAGGGTGGGTGGGTGGGGCTAATACTGTCAAAGTACAACTGACTTTGGCAAATGATATACTCTTTAAAAAATAGAGGGCGGGTGGGCGGGGCTATTACTTACCAAGATAAGACGGATTTTGGCAAATCATATACTTTTTAAATAAATACAGGGTGGGTGGGCGGGGCTAATACTTTCTAAAGAACAACTGACTTTGGCAAATGATATACATTTTAAAAAAAATAAGGGGGTGCATTGGCCGTAGCTAGTACTTCCAAGTAGTAGTCTCGCGCACGCGCTCTTTTTTCTTTGAAGATATATGTTTGCCAAAATTAGTCTTATCTTAGGAAGACTGATTTTGGCAAATCATATACTTTTTAAGAAAATACAAGGTGGGTGGGCGGGGCTAATACTTTCTAAAGTACAACTGACTTTGGCAAATGATATACTTTTTAAAAAATAAGGGCAGGTGGGCGGGCTAGTACTTATTAAGAGAAGACTGATTTTCGCAAATGATATACTCTTAAAAAAAATAAGAGGTTGCGTTGGCGGTACTTGCAAGTACTACCCCGTCCACCCTCTTTTTTTTTAAGAGTATATCATTTGCCAAAATCAGTCGTATCTTAGCAGGTACTAGCCCCGCCCACCCGCCCTCTTTTTTTGTTGAGAATATATCATTTGCCAAAATCAGTCTTATCTTAAGAAGTATTAGCCCCGCCCACCCACCCACCCTCTTTTTTATTAGAGGATATATTATTTGCCAAAATCAGTCTTATCTATCTTAGGAAGTACAGTACTTTTTAAGATACGACTGATTTTGCAAATGACATACCCTCTAAGAAAATAAAGGGTGGGTGGGCGGGGCTTGTACTTGTTAAGATAAGGCTGATTTGGGCAAATCATATACTCTTTAAGAAAATACAGGGTGGGTGGGTGGGGCTAATACTGTCTAAGTACAACTGACTTTGGCAAATGATATACTCTTTAAAAAATAGAGGGCGGGTGGGCGGGGCTATTACTTGCTAAGATAAGACGGATTTTGGCAAATCATATACTTTTTAAGAAAATACAGGGTGGGTGGGCGGGGCTAATACTTTCTCAAGTACAACTGACTTATTCTTTTTGAAATTATTTGAAAAGATGTTGAGGCCGCTAGATGTTTTATAATGGTAGTCGAATAGCTCTCGCACAAACGCAATTATTTTTCTACAAACTTGAACTCTATTTGATTTATGCCCGCCATTTACCCAAGGTGGCGGAGTCGACTCCGGTAAGTCACTTCCCCCACCCTTTCGCTGGTTTCTACTGTTCAGCTCATGTTTGGTTGACAGTGTATAACGCCCATACGCAATATATTTCATATGAGAGTTGTTTTTATTTACTAAATCGGCATCTGTTTGAAATTTTGTTAAATTTTTTTAACACTGATAGAAAGAATTTTAATCAGTTGAAATAAAATACCGACGGGTTGCAACCGGTATTACTGTAAAATATTGCTAAAAAACTAAAATGAAATTTCAGGTAGACCGCGACGTATGTCATAAATAACATTAAAATGTAAATTAATTAATTAGGAATTAAATTCAAGAAATATTAAGATATACAGTCCAAGTTTAACCATAAATATCCAATCCAGATGAGGAATGACGAAAATTCTTTACATATTCAGAATTCGTATACCGACTTGCTGACCCTTTGAACAAATTTGCAACATCGTCGGGAAATCTCTCATATAAAATGCACTGTTGTTGGGGCTAGAGTACAGAACCCTAACTAAACTGAACCCATTTCCAGTCGTCCACCGGCGATCGCTCTCCGAAGACGTTGCCGTGTTGGCCATCACCATGCACGCCACCCCCAGCGAGAAGGCCCGCCGTCATGCCCTCACCATGTGCCGCCAGGACCCGCACTACAAACCTCGCACCAGCAACCCGTTCGCGACCCTCGCTCAATTTCGCGGAGTGAAAAAGTTCCTCGGCAACTTCTCCTCTTGCTGTGAGTTGCCATCGCCCTTCATCGAACCCACCATGGAGTCGCCGAAGTCGCTCCCCGGGTCGCCGACCTCCTCGCGGAAAGCCACCACGTCGAGGTCGCCTCTTTTCGTTCACCCTTTCTTCAAGGGGGGCTCCAGCACGAACCTGCTGGAGTTGGGGAACAGCGAGAACGCCAACGTGAGCCTGAGGAGGAGAGGTTCGTGTGAATCGGGGTTTTACTCGAGCGTGGGGGAGTGTCTGTCGCCTAGCAGTCTGTGGGACAGCGGCACGGCGGTGAGCTCGCTGAGGTCACTGGACGAGCTGGAGCCCAACGAGTTGCAGGTTTGTGTTTGCGGTGAACGCGAAATGTAGGGTTAGGAGTGACGTAGGTTTCTTGATGTGGTGCGTACGAAATTTTTTCGACGACCGAGAACGTAGTTTTTTATTCATTTGTGTTTTCTGTAATTGGGTGTATATACGTGTAGAAAATAAAAGTATATTATTGTTGTTATTAAATACTCTGATTAGACTCTTCTTAGGCTTTATATTCATAATTTATTTTGAAATTGCGATGCGACCTTGCCATGGTATTCCAATTTTCTTGAAATATTTAGCAATGTAAAGATTCATAAAAAATTGGTCGATTAAACAGAACGTCCCTCGCGTCTAAAATGTAGTTCTACAAATCCCGCTTCTTTGAAAAATTATCAGACACTTGCGATTTTTGTTTTCTGGTAACCTGTAAAGTACAAACCAGTGGCGTAAATCACACTTTTTTTTTGTTTTTTCAGTTCGATTTGCAATTTTTCGACTTTTTAAATTTAAATTTTTCAATTTTTCTATTTTTAAATTTTGCAATTTTTCGATTTCTCGAGTTTTTTCAATTTGCAGTTTTTCGTTTCGGTTTTTTTCTTTATTTTTTCAGTTACCGGATTTTTCAATAATTTTTTATTTTTTCATTTTCCATTTTTTAATTTTTCATTTCTTCATATTTTCATTTGCAATTTTTCGTTTTTTCAACTCCACGGCATGTAACTCGCGAGTTTTCTATTTAAATTTTTCGGTTTGCTGTTTCACGAGTTTTCAATTTTTAGGTTATGCAATTTTTTGTCTTCAATTTTCCGTTTAGGTTTTTTAATTTCTTTATTTTTCTAATTTTTCGGTTTTTCAATGCTTTGATTTTTAAATTTTTCAGCTTCTAATTTTTTATTTTTCATCTTTTCGATTTAGATTTTTCAGTTTCACGATTTTTCAATTTTTCTACTTTTCAATTTTGCGATTTTAGAATTTTTTCATTTATGGACATTTTTAATTTGTCAGTTTTTTATTTTCGATATTACAGTTTTTCGACTGTACAATTTTGACGATTCTGTAATTTTTCGAGTTTACAATTTTTGAGTTTTCCAATTTTTCCATTAGATTCATTTTTTCTCCATTTTATTTTTTTTCAATATATAAATTTTTTGATTTTTATACTTCAATGCTGCAATTTTTCGATTTTTCAACTTTTCGAATTAAAAAAATTGAAAAGTAAAACAAAACGAAAAAGTATAAAAATAAACATTGAAAAATTTAAAAATTGGAAATCAAGAACTTGGAATATTAAAAAATCCGAAGGTTAAAAATCGAAAAAACGAAATCGAAATATTGAAAGTTGCAGAAATCGAAAAATCGAATAATTGGAAATCTAAAAATTACAAAATTGGAAAATCCAGGAATTGTCGAAGATTGAAAATTAGAAAAATTGAATAAACGAAAAAATAAAATCGAAAGGAAAAAACGAAAAATTGTGTTACAAAATCGAGAAAATGAAGAATAAAATTCAAGAACGTGAAAAATTGGGTAAACGAAAAATTAAAAATTGAGAAACTGAAAAACCGAAAAATGAAAACTGTAATATCAAAAAATTGAAACGAAAAAAATGGGGAAAAAGAAGAATAAAATTAAAGAATTTCAAAAATCTAGGAAAAATTGAAAAATCGAAGAATTAAAAATCGAGAAACTGAAAAATCGAAAAACGGAAAATTGTATTATTGAAAAATTGCAAATAGAAAAATAGAAAAATTTGAAAGTCGAAAAATTGAAAACTGGAAAAATTGAAAACGGCAAGAAAATGAAAAACGAAAAATCAGATAACTGGAAATCCAAAAATTACAAAATTGGAAAATTTGAAAAACTGAATAAACGAAAAAAAGATTGGAAATGAAAAAAAAAAACGAAAAATTGTGATACAAAATCGAGAAAATGAAAATGAAAAAAATCGGGAAAATGAATAAGATTCAAGGACTTGAAAAATTGTAATATCGAGAAATCGAAAAATGGAAGAAAATGAAAAACGAAAAATTGTGATATGAAAAAATTGTAACATCGAAGAAAAAAGTCGCGACATCGAAAAATAAGTCATTACAAAATTTTGTTATGACGTCGGAGTATGTAGTTTTTGATTTATTCAATGCAATTTTTTTTAATCACCCTGTATAAGTAATTCTAAAAACTATGAGTATGTTGATAAACCACTAAATTAAAATAAAAATCGAAAGATTAAAATTGAGAAACTTTAAAATCGAAAAAGTGCAAAATCGGAAAACGAAAAATGTATTGTAAAATCGAAATATTGAAAATTAAAGAAGTCGGAAAATCGAGGAATTGAAAAATCAGAGATTGAAAATTAGAAAAATTTAATAAACGAAAAAATATAAAATCGAAAGGAACATTTGAAATAAAAAAACGAAAAATTGTGATACAAAATCAAGAAAATGAAAATTTAAAAATCAGGAAAATGAATAAAATTCAAGAAAGCGAAAAATTGGCGAAACGATAAATTAACAATTGAGAAATTGAAAATTCGAAAAATGAATAATTGTAATATCGAAAAATTTAAACGAAAAAAACGAGAAAAGGAAGAATAAAATTCAAGAACTTCAAAAATTGAGGAAACGAAAGATTGAAAAATCGAAGAATTTAAAATTGAGAAACTGAAAAATCGAAAAATGGAAAATTGTAATATTGAAAAATTTAAAGTTGAAAAAATGAAAAATTACGAAACCGAAAAATTGTGATATGAACAAATTGTAAAATCGAAGAAAAAGTCGAGATATCGAAAAATAAGTTGAGTTTTTTCATTACAAAATTTCGTGATGACGTCAACAATAATAACAGTACTGTATTCCGAACTTTTCGGGAAAATGGAGTGAGTCGTTTTTGACTTATGCAATGCAATAATTTTTTTGATTCACCCTGTATAAGTAATTCTAAAAACTATAAATACGTTAATAAACCACCAAATTAAGAAATCGAAGGACTAAAATTGAGAAACTTTAAAATCGAAAAATGTATTGTAAAATCTAAATATTGAAAATTAAAGAAAATTGACGAATTGAAAAATCAAAGGTTGAAAATTAGAAAAATTGAATAAACGAAAAAATATAAAATCGAAAGGAACATAGGAAATGAAAAAATCAGAAATTGTGATACAAAACCGAAAAAATGAAAATTACAAAATCGAGAAATGAAGAATGAAATTAAAAAACTTGAAAAATTGGGGAAACGAAAAATTAAAAATTGAGAAACTGAAAAATTGAAAAATGAAAATTGTAATATCGAAAAATTGAAACGGAAAAAATCGGGAAAAAGAATAAAATTAAATAATTTCAAAAATCGAGGAAATATTGAAAAATCGAGGAAATATTGAAAAATTGCAAATAGAATAATTGAAAAATTTGTAAGTCGAGAAATTGAAAAAAATAAAGTTGAAAAAATGAAAAATTATGAAACCGAAACATTGAAAAATGGAAAAATTGTAAAATCGAAGAAAAAGTCGAGATATTACAAAATTTTGTGATGACGTCATCAATAATAACAGTACTGCATTCCGAAATTTTCGGGAAAATAGAGTGACTCGTTTTTGATTTATTCAAGGCAATACATTTTTTTGAATCACCCTGTATAAAAGTAATTCTAAAAACTATGCGTATGTACGTTGATAAACCACTAAATTAAAAAATCGAAGATTTAAAGTTAAGAAACTTTAAAATCAAAAAAGTGCAAAATCGAAAAAACGAAAAATGTATTGTAAAATCGAAATATTGAAAATTAAAGAAAAAGGAAAATCAGATAACTGGAAATCCTGGAAAATGGAAGATTGAAAATTTGAAAAACTGAATAAACAAAAAAATATGAAATCGAAAGGAAGATAGGAAATGAAAAAAAAACGAAAAATTGATACAAAATCAAGAAAATGAAAATTTAAAAATCAGGAAAATGAAGAATAAAATTGCAGAAGGTGAAAAATTGGGGAAACGAAAAATTAACAACTGAAAAATTGAAAAATGTATGATTGTAATATCGAAAAATTGAAGCGATAAAAACGAGAAAAGGAAGAATTAAATTCAAGAACTTCAAAAATTGAGGAAACGAAAGATTGAAAAATGGAATAATTAAAACTTGAGAAACTGAAAAGTCGAAAAATGGAAAATTGTAATATTGAAAAATTTAAAGTTGAAAAAATGAAAAATTACGAAACCGAAAAATTGTGGTATGAACAAATTGTAAAATCGAAGAAAAAGTGGAGATATCGGAAAATAAGTTGAGTTTTTACATTACAAAATTTTGTGATGACGTTATCAATAATAGCAGTACCATATTCCGAACTTTTCGGGAAAATGAGAGAGTCGTTTTAGATTTATGCAATACATTTTTTTTTATCACCCTGTATAAGTAATTCTAAGTACGTTGATAAACCACTAAATTAAAAAATCGAAAGACTAAGTTGAGAAACTTTAAAATTGAAATATTGAAAATTAGAAAAATTGAATAAACGAAAAAATATAAAATCGAAAGGAACATTTGAATTGAAAAAACGAAAAATTGTGATACAAAATAAAGAATAAATTTCAAGAATTTGAAAAATTGGAGAAACGAAAAATTAAAAAATGAGAAACTCAAAAATTGTAATATTGAAAAATTGAAGCAAAGTTACTAAAAGGGAAAATTACGAAACCGAAACATGGAAAAATTAAAAAATGCAAAAAAATGAAAAAACGAAAAGTTGTTATATGAAAAAATTGTAAAATCGAAGAAAAAGTCGAGACATGGGAAAATGAGTTAAGAGTTTTTCCATTACAAAATTTTGTGATGACGTCACCAACGTACGTAATAATAGTACTGTATTCCCAAATTTTCTAGAAAATGGAGTGAGTCGTTTTTGGTTTATTTAGTGCATCACTTTTTTGAGTCACCCTGTATAAGTAATTCTTAAAACTGAGTACGTTGATAAACCACCAAATAAAAAATCGTAATATATACTGTAACTCAAAAAATTGCAAAATTGGAAAACCGAGGAATTGGAAAATCAATTTGAAAATTAGAAAAATTGAATAAACGAAAAAATATAAAATCGAAAGGAATGTAGGAAAAAGAACGAAAAATTGTGATACAAAATCGAGAAAATGAAAATTACAAAATCGGGAGAATGAAAAATAAAATTCAAGAAAATTGCGAAAAATTGCAAATTAAAAATTTGGAAGTTGAGAAACAGTTGAGTTACAATTTTCAAATACCTTTAAAACTAGTCGCAGCTCTTTTTTGTGTGTCGTAGGTGCTGCGACCTTTTAAGGGAGCTGTTTTCGGTAAAGTCCACGGTAGCTGTTTAAGCCGGTGTCTTCGTGCATCTTTGAAATGTACGTTATTAACGTCGCATTTTCGTAGATTTTCCACAAGAGGGCGTCGTCGATCTGCACCGACAGCAGCGAAGACATCTCGAGTCTGACCGGGTCCGAGTGGGTGCAGGAGATGAAGCCGAAGAATATTTCCTCCATGGTGGACTACTTCGAGAAAAAGGGGGCGACGTTGAGGCACCCGGGCGGCGTGCGGGGCGGTCTGCAGCTTAGTTCGAGGATAGCGGCTTTACGTAGATCTTTGGAGAAGCACGGCACTTCGGGCGCGCCCGCCAACTCGCACCTGACGCCGCAGAGGCACAAGTGCACGAGGATCGTGGTGTGCGAGGGCGCGGTCCGGTCGAAGTTGCCCCTTTTCGATAAGAAGTAGGCCAGTCTTCCTTTTGTTTCTTCTCTAGTCAGATTGTACATGTTTGAAATTGTTAACGGTTCGAGGCCTAAATTGAGATATTTCAAATAAAGTCTATTTTTCACGTGTATATATTTTAAGACTAACGTTTGATATTTCGAGTGTCCTGTTGATTACAGTAAGTTGTATATAATTATGCTCATCGTCGGGTGGGCTCTTGTAATTTATGTGACCTCAGATTCGGCCATTTCGGTTTGGTTTTTAGGAACCGTGAAATTTTCAAGCGTGATATACAAAGTGGAGATTTCACGGGAAGCGGCGACTTGACCTATATTAGGTTAAGTTGGCCTGTGGGATGAGCTTATGTTGCATTTATCATGTTTTGGAGTGAAGTTTGTGTTTAATTTTCGCTCGAGTTGCCACTTTCGATGGTCGATTAATCCGGCGGATTGAACGGCTATGGAATGGAAACTCGTTCGTGTGAACTAAATGCCAAATGTGTATTGACATATCCAATTTTGGTTGCAACACTGTATTGTGATGACCGTCCAGATGTTTGAAATTCAGTTATGTTATCCTGTATTTATAACTATTTAGTGAAGCAAGTATTACTATTTTAACGGTCTGTTTGTATATCTTCCATATGTCTTGTCAATAATATGTATAGTTGTTTAGCAAAATACAATAAATTTTTCATATATCTTTATATTTTACATTGTGACCTGTTACACAGTTACAAAACATATTTAAAAATAAATTAGGATCCTAATGTAAATCGATTGAATACTTCACTGATTATATACAGCACTTTAGAGAAAAATAAATACTTGAATAATGAAGTAGAAGTTGAAGGGCTGCTACCACTTCTAATTTTGCAACTAAACCAAGGTTTGAAAGCTCGCTTCGTCGCTCTGGATCACCTTGTTCAAGAATTCTCGATTCTCACAATCTCTCAAGGTTTATATCCTTCACTGAGTATTACTAGTAACGCCAACTTCGTCCATCTTAGCTTAGTTGCAAGACTTCCGACTTCACATTAAAAAAATAAGACCTCCAACTGGATCAGTTACAAGTATACATTTTACAATTAGTCGCTTCAGTCTGTCTTCAGTCTTTTCACAGCCATTTCACTTCCTTGCGAATTGGAATCCTCGGAAAATGTCATATGGGACGATGAGAAATCAGTTGGACCTTGTGAATCACTTACAGTCGAAAAACCTAACAATTTTAAATCAGTACAAAAACGAACCTTCAAAATTACACTTACAAGTATTCGAATCCTCCGCTAAACTAAAGTTCGAATTCGAATTTGAACTGTCGACTGCGCTTTTACGCGTCATATTTTCTTTGTTTGCTTCTTTGTGATGTTTCATCCCTTTCTTGGATTCCGCTATAGGTACCCACTTGTATATTTTCATCGTGGTGTCGCCGATGGTCACCCATTTTTTCTCCCTGTTTGATAAAATGCGCATGCTCAGTAGTGTAAACTCGCAATTATATTGAACGAGCTGTATTTATTTGTACAATATCTACTATTTCTCACCGCCTAATCTTTATTATTTGTACATATAACTAGATATAGACTAATGATGAGTAATTAAGGCGAGACACATCAACTCAAGAATGTCACTATTCAAGTTTCATTATTGTCTTGGTCGTAAAAATTTAAGCAAGTTAAAATTTATGGCATAATTAGCTTATAATAAGCAATTTGTCCGTAAATTACTTGGTAAACAAAAAATAAGCAATAAGAACAGCAAACGTTTTTGCACTATTACTAACAACTTTACTTATTTATGGCATATTTCAGAACAAGATAAAAATTAGATACAGGAATAAAATAAGAAAAAATATGTCAATATTCAGATCATTTACACACAACAAACTGAAAAAACATGGAATACGATTTGGGAAAGAAATTTCAAATTTTTAAATTGATATTGTTAAACTTTGCAAAGTCGATATACGTCCCAGTGTTGCAATTCAACGTATCATTTATTTCAAAAAAGCTCGAAATTTAGAACAGCTAATTAACACAAGAAATCTGTAAAATCAATGTATTACCTCGCCTTTGGTTTTCCGGAAACGACAGCAACTCATTCTTTTCAAAACGCATAGACTATATTTTTGAAGTGTGTTAAATAGAATATGTTTTTATATTTTCAGTGAGATATAAGACTTAATATTGGAGCAACCAGTCAGTGGGTGGAAACATCTACTTCCCGGACAAGTGCCTCACCGGACGCTGGATCACACCTGCCATCAGTAGCGTCATGCTTTTCTCCACGAAAAACTTCCGCTTATACCGCCAAAAAATTAATAATTCTTTAACGGTATAATTATTTTGAGCAGTGTGGCACCTGATATGTAATTGAGGTACCTGCTCCACTCATAATTTGAAAAAAGAATTGATTAAAAAAATGTGTTTTTTGTAAACGACATCAACCATTCTATTGCAAATAGAGTATGGTATGTTTTTTAAATAGGCTGCATGTTATCAGTAATTTAACATCTGTAATATATTAATTTTATTTACCAAAATAATTTTTGACACCTCCGTATTTAAAGAAAAATTAATTTTGCTTATCTTTTTTTTAAATTTCCTTCTGGTTTTGAAGATTTCATATTTTGTTAAATTTTAGAAATACATGCCGCTTGGAATTTGTTTTACTTTTAAATGTTTTTCCTATGTTGCTTCTCTTATACTTTTTCGGCTTTCCTAAGCTATGAAACTTATGGTTTGTAAACAATCAGTGTAAAAAAAAACATGAAAATTAAAGAAACGTCAATTGTTTCACCTTTTCCAATTTTCTAAACATTTTTAAAGCACTGAAAAAAGAAGTCGTTTCCAAAAAAAAAAACACGAATTATTAGATTAATCACTGAAGAGTGAAATACATAAATTGAGACATTGCCATTTATTTATTTTTAAATTAAATCAAGGAGTTTCGCCTCAAGTACTATCACTGCAAAAAAGCGAAACATACTGTAAATCCATTAAAAAAATATTCTATTGTATTTGAAAAGAAAACGTTGATGTCAATTCTGATTAAGCCCAAAGAAGATGTAAATAAATCTACTAGTGTGACTACTAGTTTTATATTTTTTTCGTGTTTTCTTTTACTTCTTTTTTATGTAACTGAGATATTACAGTACAGTAGTTAAACTGAGACACCCGGTACATATTTATAAAGTGGTCCAAGGTTAAGGTTAATAAGGTTATATGACCATCATAAAGTAGTTGTCCGCAAATAAAACCCCCCTTGTGTAGTTCGCACTAAGTAATAAATCGTCATTTCTTCCTTAGATTTAGATATTTAATGAAACACGCCCCTGAACGAAACGACAACAGTCGGTCGAGCTACAGTGGACACGTTATTTACGATCCTAAAACCTTTTCTATTCTAAACATCTTAACTTCGACACAATGGGATAATTTTATGTTATGATGGCCATATAACCTTATAGTTCTTGGACTACTATACATTTATTTTAAAAAGTATTTGCAATGAATAAACATCATCAGTTGCATTTTGCAAATTTTATAATTTGGTTTAATTTTAATGTTTTTAGGTAAATCATATTACTGAATTTATTACATATTTATATCCTATACATTATAAGCATGTTGTATACTGTTAAACCAGTCCCACCCACCCAATTCAATGCTTTATACTGTTGTACAACCCTTAAAAAGATGCTACAAGAACCACCCTATATATTGCTTATGTACTGTGAAAGACCCACCCAAACCAGTTTTTTTCATTCATTCAAATCACGAAGTTGTCATTTTTTACGTTTCGCCCCTCTTATGACATCATCACACCATTGATCGCCCCATTTTCGCCGGATTGTACGCCATGTCCGTACAAACAATTCAAATTATAATCTGATAAGTGTACCAACCTTACGAAACAATTGCTTTCCTAAACCTAGATAATCTCTAGAGAAATTAAAAGGTATTGAACTCACCAATGTCTCACCCGATCTATAACATTCATAACCTTCTTAACATCATCTTTGGCACGACTCCGAGTTTCAGCACGTATCGAACGAGACATTTTGACGAAATTAAGTTGCCTTCACAGTCAACAAATTAAACAATTCAAACTCAAAATCTACCAGTCCAACGCCATTTTCCGAAAGGACGAAAAACGAGCGAAGCGGTGATCGTGCATTGTTGGACAAAGATAGCGATTGGCCGAACGGCATTGACGTTTAGGAGCGTTACCAACCGGAGAGAATGCACCGAACTAGGAAAATCCGGTAGAAAATTTCCAAATGACGCGGAAGAAAAGTTTGGATGACAAGCAAACAACGAGTTTGTGATTTAGAGCCGTTTCGTGTGTTTCGAGTTTACTTTAAATGCTCTTTTGGACGTCACCGTGTGTGCGCCATCTCCCCGTACCCACGCTAACTATTTTTTGATGTTTCAATTTTTAAACAATCGTGTTGTGTTTGTGCACGAGTGGCGTCTTGTTTTCTCGAAAACGCGCTTTAGGTGAAAGCGTCTGTCCGTTTTGTGGGTGTTTGGGGGGTTTGCGCTTGTTAGGAGTGATGATTTAGCGAATTTTTGCCCAACGAATGTTTGGTTACCGGCCGCGACCTGCATTACCCTCATTTTTTTGCAGTTTCAAATCATGGCCGATTCTATCGAATTGCGTATGAGTGTTACGTCCATCCGAAGAGTTGATCCATATGTGAAAGATATTCTCGCAACTGCTACGCACGTCGCTTTATACAAATTCAACACATCGACGAACGAATGGGAAAAAACAGACACTGAAGGTGCGTTGTTTATATACAGCCGAAATGGGGAACCGTTTCACAGTATTATGGTTATGAACCGCCTCAACACAAATAATGTGATAGAACCCATCGTGAAAGACTTCGACTATCAGATGCAAACACCGTTCCTGCTCTACAGGAATTCCAAAAGTAAAATCTTCGGCATCTGGTTTTTTAATCGTGAAGAGTGCGTACACATTACCTACTTAATTGAGACAGTTATGGAGAGTTTGAAAGACAAGAGTAACGAGAAGACGAAGAAGCAGGAAAACGGGGTGGATATCTTCAGTTTGCTGTCCAAAGCGCAGGAGGATTTCAACAAGACGCCAACCAAGCAGGAGTCTGTGCCTCCCGCGTTTTCCACTCCGAGAGATTGTACATCGAAAAGTGTTATGGACTTTTTTGCTAAAGCCAGCACGAAATCGACACAGAAACCCATTCCTATGGTGCCGGGGGGCGAAGGCGAAAATGTGCTGCAAAGGTTAATGTCTAACCCAGCACATACTGTTGAACATATTGAAAAGCAACAGAGGTCAATCACTCCACAGGAGCAGGTAGGAAATAGCTTGATGCTTTATTAAAATGTTTCCGGTATTTTCGTTTATTTTCTGATCATCCCGCATTTGTTTCATATTTAATAACTGGTGCAGGACCGTGGTAAGGAGGTCCTTTTAAAGCGATGCTAATGGGGGCGCCACTAGCAACATGATAACCTCTAGTAAGAACAAGTTTATCAAGTTATTATTTTTATGGTGGATTTTACAGGCATTCTATAAATGCATTCAAAAACACACAAAGAAACATGTTTTCTATTTTTTTTTACAAGTCGGACTTTTTACAATTTTTGATTTTTAAAACGTTCAACAATGAACGAACAAATTTAAAAAACGTATATAAAAATGTATACATCCATTAAAAAAAGTTAGTGGGTGCAGGTAAACGTGGCAGGTCGCAGTTTTTAGGGTCAAAATATTGCACAAACTGAGTTTCGATTTCGTCCTAATGCTAACAAAGGAAATCGTTTTGAATTAAAAAACACTCGTTATATAGTGCAAAAAATGGCCACTAAATGTAGTAAGGAACCACTAATCTAATCTACTCAGTCAATAAACACCCAATTTTTGAGATAACTGAATGGGATTGTGGCTGCTAGTACAGAACGTCTTTATACCATTGTTGCATCACATTGGCTATGGAAATTTGCCGCTTACTTTTACACGAGCAATTACTATTCACTATAATTTGTGACAAGGCGGCAAAAGTCAGCGCCCACTTTGGTACGATTTTTATTGTGAGATAGTGTATATACAAGATTACAACAATACATTACAAAAGTTAGATTATTTTGCGCAATTTGATGCAAAAAATAGATCACGTGATGTATGTTTTGTCATTAAAAAATTTAAATGAGCGCGTCTACCAATCAAAATTTGAGCCGCCTAAAATATACAGTGTGTTTCATTTTTCGTGCCTGATAATTTTAATACTAATTGTAGTGCCACCTATACTTTTATGAAAAGCTGCGCGAAATAAAGTATTTCCACTTGATATTAACTTATTAATTAACTTTGTAACCACATTTATTTTTGAAATTCCGATGCAACGTTGCCACGTTATTTCAGTTTTCTTGATTTTTTTTTTACAATGGACGGGTTTACAAAAAATCGCAATAGGGTTATTTTTGAAGTATGTCTTACAATATTTTGTGGGAGGATGAATAAAGGTACGTGCTTTGTTCCGGTATCAATCAAATACAGTTTTAATGTACTGAGTGTTAAAACAAATTAAAACTATAATTTTCAAATATCGATGTTTCGGTTTTTTTCAGTTACACCCTGTATTTTATTACTATATCTTTATTTTTCTTCACATTTTTCTAATATGGGAATATGCTCCAGTGACTATCAATTTTGAATATTGAAAATACTTAACAAAAAAGGAAAAGAAGAAAAAATTGAATAAGATGGGGAAATGAAATATAGGCTATTCTATATGAAAAAACTGAAATATCGATATTTGAAAAACACCTGTATACGAGAATTTCATTTCAGTTGTACCACAACAGAGCGCGTACTTTTATTTATTTCTTTACAAATTTTTTTGTGAACCTCTGTATTGCTAAGAAATTTCAAGAAAATTGGAATAACATGTAAACGTCGCATCGGTATTTCAGAAATCAACTGTAGTTGTAAAGCCTAAGAAGAGGCCAATCAAAATATGTAAAAATATATAGGATGTTTCATTAAAAAAAAAAACGAAGTTGTGTGTTACGCCTTAAAAACAAAGCACTCGGATTTGTAAATCTTAGAAAAGTTAGCCCATTTCAGTTTTCATTGTATGCAGAACAGTACAATTGATTAAGTGTGCAAAAGAACCCAAATTCTAGAAATTTCGTCAATGTCAGGGTTTGAAAGACTCTCCGATTTCAAAGTTCTGGAAGTACAATTGTAATTGTGTTGATTGTGTTGATTGTAATCCTCGAATTGTTTACCTTTAACTCACTGAAACATTAGAGAATTGCCAAAATTAAAAAAAAAATGGAAATTTTAGAAAAGTTGGCTAATTTCGAAAATTTTTTTATTTTTTTTTATTGTACACAGAACAGTACAAAGTTGCTTAAGTGTGCAAAATAACCTCTAGTGAAAACTCACGTAACTAGAAAATTTTCAAAGTACCTAAATTCCAAAAATTTCGTCAATATCAAGGTTTGAAGAGCTATCTTTGATTTCAAAAGGATTATCAATCTAAATTCTGGAAGGACCAACGTGATTGAGGTACTCAAAGCGTTTTCCTTTAACTCGCCAAAAAATCAGATTTGAAATAATTTTTAAACTATCAAAATTCAAAAGTTTTGGATTTCTAAATTTTAACCAATTTTGAAGAATTTTAGATCCCTTTTTTTTCATTAGACATATACACAACAGTACAAGTGCTTAAGGCCAGTCGTTACGTTTTGTGAGTGGAATTTTCGGTCTATTTTCAGAATGTAATATCTCCGTTGTTACCAGATTTATGGTTTTGAAATTTTAAATATACATATGTTGTCCATAACTTTCTTTACAGAACGGAAGGGCAATTTTGTTAAAAACAATTTCTTCTCATACTTTTCTTTTAATTTTAGTGAAATTCTTGCATAACGTATTTTTAAAAATCAATATCTCAATTATTAAGGCAAATTTCAGAACACAGTTTTCTACACTATTTTCAGCTTACAAAACGCCAGAAATCGTACAACATATTCTACTTTTTTTGGTAGAAACGATACACAGTAAAAAAAGCTTGTGTCGTAGAAGTTGCTAACTTTTATTTTTACTATATCTCAGTCCCAACAAATAAAGTCAAAACAGTGGTGAAATCCCTGTTCCAAAATTTCCATAAATAACTGAAATATTGATTTTTTAAAATACGTGATGCAAAAATTTCAACAAAATTAAAAAAATATATAATAATAAATTGTTAAAAAAAAGTGCCCTCGCAGTTATGTAGTGAAAGTTGTGAACAAGTTACATTTAAAATTTGATAAACAACATAAATAGCGATATTACATTTTGAAAATTACCATAAGAACCAAATGTAGCGACTCCTCTTAAGTGTACAAAAGAACCAGGGGGTGGGATTTTGTTTCTTGATCGAAGTGATAAATTATCACTTGCGATAAATGTCATTGCGTAGCTTTTAAATGCAAAGTTTGCATTTATTCTTTGCATATAAGCTTATTAAATGCTCAAAAGGTTACAATTACCTTAATTTTAAGAACTTATAACTCAGAATTACGATTTTGAACTTCTATTTTGACATAAATTTCGAGGTTATGTCGCCAAAATTTATCACTTCATTCAGAGCTATCGAGAAAATATCAATCCATGAAGACTTGATTTCGTGACAGAATCGAGAAATGTGACAGAAATGTCTCACCAACTCAGCCTCTCAACCAATCAGCAAACGAGATTTTATCGCTACCGAGTTTTTTTCGATCGAGAAACAAAATCCCACCCCTCAGAAGTGAAAACTTTGGTAAGTGGAAAATTTTCAAATTAACTAAACGCAAAAAACTTCGTCAATGTCAAGGTTTGAAAGTTTATCTACGATTTCAAAATTCTGGAAAGACCAACTGGACTGTAATCCTCAAATTGTTTTCCTTTAACACACCAAAAAATCAGAGAATTGAAATAATTATAAAACTGTCAAAATTCAAAAATCCAAAATTTTGGATTTCTAAATTTTAGAAAAGTTGGATTTCCATTTTTTTTTCATTTTCTCTCATTGTACACAGAACAGTACAACTGCTTAAGAATCAGCCGTGAAAACTTCCCTAACTAGAAATTTTTCGAAGTAGCTAAATTGCAAAATTTTCTGTATAGTTAAAAATAATTTTAAAGTATAGTCTTCAGAAAATCGTACAATTTTGGCTTTGACTTTTTCTTCTTCTATTTCTAAAAATTAATGAGTTATGGAGGAACGCGCGATTTCAAGCATAAAGTTCATCCCTTAATTCACATTCTTAGAGATGGAATTTTCAAAAATACTTTCTTATTCACCTCGTAGGCTATGAAACAAATCTGTACAAATTTCGTGTTTCAGACTCGAGTAGTTTCGGCGGTTGATGAGTCACTCAAAATAGATGTCTGTGTTACCAGTTTTTTTCCAACCTGTAGATGACGTGTTTATTCGCATATATGCCATCCACGAAAATAGTGGTGTTATGATTTTGGCTTTGCCAAACCAAGGAAAAGCGTGCCGGTGAAACACAACAAAGAGCCGCTGCCTGAGTTTGTGGTAATGATGCATTTTCGTCTAATAAGCTGTGTTATTTGTTGACAAGTCGTAAAACCACTATTTTCGCGTATGACCTATATCTGAAGTTTGTTTATTTTCATTTATCGATGTTTTGAAAAAAAAAAGTTAAAAATTATGGGGATTGAACGTCACAATAGCAGGGTTAGTGACGATTGTAAAAATGTAGTTTCGGTAAAAGTATACGGATTTTAACTGAGAGAATTGAAATCCACAGAAAAAAAAACATAACAAAAAGTTATTTACAAGTAGCAAAACATCAGATTTGATCTTTTTTTACTTGCAATTATTCTTTGGCCGTGAAATACGAGTTGTAAATGTTAACGAGCTTGTAGCTGTCAGTTTTGGGCAATGTGGAGTCTTCAACTTTTTTTTCACTAACTTTGGACTTTCTCTAAATTTTATTCGTTGCCAGCACAGGGTGTTTTTATGGTTTTTGTATTTCTTCTCAAAATTTTTGTCGTTGATTATTATAATAGACAATGATTTAGTGGTTTGTGCATAAATAATGACGAAAAATGATCTTTGCGAATTTTTAGTTTCTTTTTATGAATGACAAATTACTGTGTGGTTTAAGTGCGTATTAGATTTTTTTTTAAATAGTGTTGCTAATAAAAATTATGACGAACAAAGTCTGTTGTTTTATTTCCTGTAAGCAAATTTGCAATTAGCCACACTCTGCCACATTACGCAAACAAGCAAATGCCGACCTAATACACGAGCAACTATAAATTATAGTAGTTCCGACAAAACATCATACGTTGTGACTTTTATAACATCAATTTCCATTTATCAAAGGAAAAGCTTCAAAAGAAAAAAGTACATTATATTGTATCATTGTGGCCATTACAAAGCATGATTTAATGTCATTTATTGCTTGAATTTATGACCACTGCAGCCCGTTCTGTTTTTTTAAATTGCCATGCAGCACACCTTTGCTTTTTGCATAATGCGCAATAAACTTCCGCCTCAGCGTCAGTTTATCGCTTCCAACTACTATCTAAGAACAAATTATATGTCGCTACTGGTTTATTTTAGTTACATAATCACCACATACAAGTAAACGATTTCATTCAAGTAGACAAGGTAGCGGTATCATAAACACCATCATTCAAACGACGACAATGCAATAACTACAATCCAGTCATTCTCCCCAGGTACCATTACGGCATAAAATAAATTCCGACAGGCGCAGCGTGCCCATATCTTTTCCCAGCACCAGCAATCCAACCGAACGAAAAGAACCAGAAAATCGAATGTCTTTCATGGGGATTTCACCTCCGACTCAGTCTTACCAAGGCGCATCGCCGTTAGCTTTCCTCCTTCAAGGACCAACTCTTCAGCAGCCCGAAGAGGCGACAGACACAAGGACGTCCCCGTTCGCGCAATTCTTGGATAATGCTCAAAAGCCCCAGTTGATGACTCCAATGATGTTTACAACACCCACAACGGCAGAAAAATTAGATAATACCCTAAAGGTCGAAAATAAGCTCGACAGTATCGATCTGTTGACGGAAAAGCAGCTAGCACAAGCTCTTATTCACTTACTAAAGACGAATTCGAACTTCACCAGGCAGATACATGAGGCTTACGTGAATTCCATTATGGAGAGGGTGAATTGTAACAGTAATTCTTTGATTTAAATGATTTTTCGTTTTTTACTACGTGAACGAGGTCTTGTCTTGATTGATTCAAGCTTATCCTTATAATGCCTTAAATTTTTAGATTTTAATAGCGACTTTGTCATTGTTTGACTGAAAATTGGAACAGTTTTATTCGACGAGTTTCACGTTTTTGTGTATATTTTGTTTGTTTCTGGACTGAGAGAGGAACATACTTTGGTATGTAACATTTACAGTGTTTCAAATACACATAACTTATTAAGAAGATAGTTGCAGACAAATAGTGGTCTTGTAGAAACCATTGTATTAATGTAACGTATATACAGTTACATACTAATTGTGATACATAGATGTACATGTTTAAAACTTATAAATTTCAACGAGTTTGCTATTAATATAGTTTTTAATCCAGTATATGTACTTCACCGTGTTTAAGAGATCTTATTTAGTTCATTATTGGCCGTGCTTCTAGTCATTTATCCATGTTTTAATCCTAGTGGTGTTTGGAAAAAGTTTTATTTTCGAGATTTATTCAAAGTTTTTTTTGACCAAATGGTTAAATTTTGACGTTTCGGTGGAGCTGACGTCTCAAACTGAAGCGGAATCACTCTAGTGTATCGCTGTAGGTTGCAGTGGAACTATATTTTTAGCAAAGTTGACTCTCATTCTCATGGATGTATATTTTTAATTGACTATATAAATCTATCATAACCATATGTACAGGATATATTGTTTATTGACATCTTCCGTTGAGTCTCAACTCTTGGTTTCTCCAGTGAACAATGAAAGTTTTATATTAAATTGATTTGCGACATCAATGTCATTTAAAGTCTCAATAAATTATTTATTTGAACGAGTTTTTTATTTAGAACCCGAACCACTTTGTAATGAAGTGTGTACAAAAAGCGCCATGAAAGTTTTTTGTTTATTTATTAAGTCACTTATCATTTATAAATAACTATAATTGTGAACGCTGGTCCAGAGTTTACCGAAGCTAAAGACGCAATTACGCTAGTTCTATATCTAGTGGACCGGTACGGAAATGAAACTATTTTCAGGTTTGTATTTTTGTATTTGATTTTTTTTTTCAAGTTCTTGCATATTGAATTTATGCTGTATTTACTACGTATTTTAGTTGTACTTGTGAGCATTGAATGAAACTCCGTATTCATAAAGTTTTTGTTTATTTGTAGTAGCATATAAAACACGTCTAAAATATAATAAATAAGCATTTACTTATCTAATATTATACAAAATGAGCCATTAAGTATACAAAATATGTACATATTTATGTCTAAAGTAGTAAGTAATTAAAATTTGAGCAGTCGTTATTGTCGAGTTAGTAAACATTACGAATTATTCGCTTGATTATCAAATAGCAAAATTTCCTTTTCAAAAGCCATTCTTTAATCACACGAAATAGTGGCTGGATCAGTCGAAAAAAAGTTTAAATTTTCACAGCCGAACGAATATTTGGTCTTATTCGAGTTAAAAAATCGCTCTTTAAATGTAGTAGTGGATGTTTACTGCAATACTTTGGTTCCATATTAGTAAATCTTACACGTAGAAACTCCAAGTCGCTTCAAAAATTTAATCAAGCTTACTCAGCGCTGGTTTCCTAACATTAGTGATTAATCGAATTAATAAACAATTTATCATCATTCGCAAACTTAATATCTACATATTTATCATTATTTACATGATTTATTAGATTGCTCTTGGAACAAACCGGCGACACTTTCTCAATGTCCAAAACAACCGTTTTATCTTGCATCAAATTCAACTTAGCGTTAGTTTCGTTCTTATTCCCACTCTGGTGTGTGCTAATTTCGTTCTGAATAAGTAAAGGCACTTGAATCCTCTGCAAGTCATCGGCTTGATAATGGTACAAGCACTTCAAGTGCGGCTTTCTTAAAATATTGTCATACGAATGCTCCAACTTGTCACAGCCATGTTTGCTTTGAGAAGGCACATGGTGGTCGTATGAGGACCTAAAAACAGCACAATCAAAACCGGAAAATACAACCAGGTGAAAACTTACCCTAACTTATGGCTAGTGGAATTTTGATTCTCGTTTCGCAGAATCTTCACCGCTAACGCGACTAAAACGAAGAGAATTACCGCCCCACAGACGGGGACGGCGATGGTGGCGGCACGTAACCAAACCTGGGAATTTATATAGTCGATGGGTTCCTGAAGATTGGCTATGCTGGCGTAGTGGTTGTCACTGGAGTCCTGGAATTCTCCTGAAACCAGAAGTGTGAAGAAATCTGACTTGGAAGACGAACAAATAGTTACCTAGTGTGTTGTTGATTAAATCTTTTGTTAGAGGACTGTCCATGTGGTTACACATGTCGTGGTAACAGCAGAACATGAGCGACTTTTTGTGGGGCGGGGGGTCCGAGCAGAGGTCGCTGTTGTTTCTGCAACAAAGAATATACAAAATTAGTGACGTCATCTCAAAAGTGTTTCCTGAAAATTATTAAAGAGATCTATAGTAGAAAAACGACACCGTAATCTCAATCGTCAAGTCCGCTTGTTGTGTTCTTATTTTGTGTCCTCATAACTGATTCAGTTAATTTCCTTTAATTCCCCGGCTACGTTAAAAATACAACGACGTTACTGTACTTTGTAATAACAGCAAGGTAAAAGCGCTGCACGTTCATTCAAAATATGAATTATTTAGCAAAATGACTCAGGAAATAACATAATACCGTTACTAAAGAACGAGTTGTATTAATAATTTAATATTAATAATTGCATGAACGTGTAAATTGTACGTAGAAGGAATGTCAGCGGTAACGTCTTTTTGCAACAGTAGGAAGTAAACAACTAGATTAAGGTTTGCAAGAAAAATAGGAATGCATTAAATTACCGTCATTTTATTAATTACCAGCATACACCAACTTGTTATCACAAAATAATTAAAAGGAAGGCGGCCAACAGGGGCGTGCGCCTATGGTAGATTTCGACTTGCTTTATCTTGCATTCCGTTGTTTTTTACTTATGCGCTATACCTATAATTAGTTTGTATGAGCGCCTATTTATAATTGCGAATATTATATTGAGTCATAAGGCACAAACGGTATATGCAGCTCTTTTTTGTAGAGATCGCAATAGTACTAACAGGAATCTGTATGAAACTAACTTTTTTCAATTCAACAGGCAATTTTTCCAAAGGCGGAAGTTTGTAATTTATTGTCTCCTGTCATTTTATGGCACCTTTCCAGCCAATTTGAATTGGTTCAGCAAGAACAGCTTGAGAATTTGCGGCACAAGTAAGTATCCTATGTTCAAACTTACAATCAGTCTGATATCATCAAATTCACATGCGAAAAGCAGAACAATGGGAAATAAGACACATCAAATCATACAAAATTATTTACACTTTATAAGGCATTCTCAAGAACAAAGCGGGCTTTCGTGAAAAATCAGCGTGAAAAGCTAGCAAACGTATTTTTAACTGCCCTCAAGATTGCGCTACATTTAAAATTTAAAATCATGTATAGTGATGCTACAACTATTTATTCTGTAGTAGTACAAAGATCCCAATATCGTCAATAATAGTCTTATGTAAAATCTCTAAAGGAACCGTTCGTGGGGATGGGGAAGTTCGTAAGCTGAGATTATCAGTCGCTCCATTTATTTTTATTTGACGAAGTTTTATCTTTCCTTTGATGTAGGTTCTCGCCTCTGATTTTACATTTATATCCACCTCCAGATTGTTTAATTATTGAGCACAAAATCGTCGTGAATGACGTTATCCATTTTGTTTGAGTACACCAAAGCCGCCCATTTCCCATGCACCGACCCAGCAACTCCCGGAGGAAATCGCCACATCGAAGGCAAAGTACGGTTATATTTAGATATGTTACAGCTAATATCCGAAATACGTTATTATGCATAATAACTAGATATTTTAGGAATTATGCGTAATAACTAAACTTGTCAGTTATTATGCGTAATAACCGGAAACATTAGGAATTATGCGTAATAACTGAAATTTTCAGTTATTATGTACAATAACGGAAACGTTTAGGTAATATTGATAATAACTAACAGAGGAACAGGAATTATGCATAATACCTGAAATATTAGTCATTAAGCATATTGTCTAATAGGCCAGGGCCGATAATTTTTGAGAACAAAAAAATTTAGAACAGGATGATACATACCCATTGGAAAAGGAAGAAAATATAACAAGAATAAAAGGAAAAATAATTTACGGGCGATCTGAGGTCGGGAAGTCGAAGAGGGTGAGCTTTTAAGGGTAGAAAACGGTTTATCACGATTTCCGGCAAAACTACAAGTACTATCGAAAAAAGTTAAATGGCAAAGTTCTAGGTAATAAAAGGATCTACAACTTTTGTATTTAGACTTTTTTAAATAACCTCAAAATTTATGCGAAAAATGCAAGTAACCGAGTTTTTGGTTTTTTATTTTTATCTTCCACAAAAAAGTTTTTTTTCACGAAATTTGGTGAAAACTTACCTATTTATGTCCCAAAATCACTGTAATTTTTTTTATTCAAAATATTTATTTTTCTCCCTTATTTTGATTTAATATCGAAAAACCACCCTAATTTTCAATCGAAAATTCTGACGTCAAAATGTTTGTTTTTTTTTTTAAATCGGTGTGCTTTTTGTTCGTTGAAATCTCTACTTTCTGATGGTGTAAAAAAAAGTATACATTACTATGGCAAATTTTCGCAGGAAATCCAAAAAAACGAAAAACTCGAATTGCGATAGTAATTTTGACGGAAATCGTGATAAACCGTTTTCTACCCTTAAAAGCTCACCCTCTTCCCCTTCCGGACCTCAGATCGCCCGTAAATTATTGTTTCCTTTATTTTTGTTACATTTTCTTCCTTTTCCAGTGGGTGTCATCCTGTTCTAATTTTTTTTCACTTTTTACCATTTTCAAAGGCTTATAACATGTCCAGCTGATTTCAAAAAAACGGGAAAAGATGAGCAATTCAGATTCTCATAGATCAATGAAAAGAAATGGGAATATGACGTTTATATAACTGTAATTTTTCCCTTTTTTTTTTAAATCAACTGTACATGTGATATGTAGGAGAAAGCGAGGCAGGGTGGGTAGCTTTTTGGAAAATATTATGCATAATTCCTGTTTCTGTGTTAGTTATTATCAATATTACCTAAACGTTACCGTTATTATGCATAATAACTGAAAATTTCAGCTATTACGCATAATTCCTAATGTTTCTGGTTATTATGCATAATAACTGGTAAGTTTAGTTATTACGCATAATTCCTAAAATGTCTAGTTATTATGCATAATAACGGATTTCGGATATTAGCTGTAACAGATATAAGGTCACACAACACGCCACGAACGCCAGAACAGGCAATCTCTTTAAGAAGTCATGAATTTGCCGTCGGTGCCGACGTGCCTTTCAACTCGAACAATCACAAAAACCCGAATAATTAAATAATTAGCATTTTTCGAGCACGAACTTCGCAAAAGCGCTGCTTTATGGAACTCCCAAACATTTTGCTTTATGACTTAATTAAAAAATAATAGCGCCGACTATTATGCAATGGAATTTTTATCGCACTTTTTGTCGGCTCTTTAAATCAACTTCGATTGTATCTCCAGATAGGCGTGATAACTGTCCAACATTCTCGGGTTTTTGTTTGCGATACAGGTGCAACGACAGAACCTGTCGCGAACTGGGACATCGATTTGTAAAGAGATATTTTCTTGAATTTGTTGCGTAACTTCATTGGGCTTATTTTATAATCAAAAATTCTGGTGGAAATTAATACAGAGTGTCGGTTAAAAATAAAACGCGGTTTGCTTCACGGAGCTTTTCGATGTCGAATGCTCGTTCTGAAGGCAGCGTTTTATTATAATTTTGGTAAAGAGACGCTAAAGTCAAATGACATATTATTAAGGCTGTTGCTACAGTGAAGTCGACACGAAATAGCACTGGCAGGACTCCATAAGAATTAATTGGAAATTAATGGTTTGGGGTGCTTACGGAAAAAACTAATCGCAATTTAATTATACATTCTTTGTGAAGCGTTCTTTATGATTTTGAAGGAGGAAAGATCAAATTATGTGAATGAATAAGTGCTTAAAATATGAACGCACAATGTGAAAGTGACGCGTACAACACAGCTCGCTATTAAATACTTTTTTACCAAATTTTCTTTGAATAATAATGATTACAACGCACAAGTGTATTTGTACTCGACTGAAAATCCTGTTTATCAAAGATTTCGGAATATCAAGTTCGTATAGGAACGTTTTTGAATTCCTCAAGTCGGGTTTGCGGCCTAATAATCATTCTGTATACAAAAACCAAGATCGAATAAACTTTCACAATTACCAACAACTCGATAATCCATTCTCTCTTCAGCTTTACCTCAAGTATGTCAATATATAATAATATTAATAATAGAAAACCCTCAATTTATAACCACAGACGATTTTTCATTATCAGAATGACTTTTACTACTCAGCATTGGCAATTTGCTATTCTTTCCCATTAAAAAACTGATTTTATGTTGAAATATTCCTAAATAAATCTAACTTATTAAAATCCGCAGTGCGACATTTTGGTTTACGTAAAACATTAATTAAAATGTATTTATTGACCCCCTCCAAAAAGTCGATGACGTCATGCGAAGAATTTCTTAAATAATTGCTTATTTTGTCGTTTATTTCAGAAACGGTTGATTTAATCTTCCCCGAAATTCAGAAAACACAGCACCGGTATGATAAGCGTTACATTAGATCGATTTAGGAATAATTTGTGTTGCTCTTGGCCGTCACGGCCCAGTTTTTGTCCCTTATCCAAGAGATGAGAGATGTTTAAACAAACAATAAAAAAATGTAGCATAAAATTTCATTGTTTTACTCACTTTTCGTTTTCACTTAGAAGCTCCACACACCCATGCCGTCCTCTGTAATCCTTGGAATGATGTCCCACATGGTCCAAAAGATTGGAAAAGCAGCGGCCCTCGCTCGATTTGCACATATACCCAGTCCTTACACATTGCGGAAGATTACAGAAGCATCGTACATAATCTGAAACAAAAATTTCACGTTTTAAACCGATTATGGATTTGCGACCATTAAAAAAAACGTTATAATAATAATGTAGGAGCACCGCAAATTCTATTCCGATAAAGTCACATTGAAAAGGTTACGTTATATTTATTAGTCGCAGAGGTTGATGGGAAGCAGTGACATGGCTCAAGGGGGGGCTCCGAGCAATTAATAACTTCTAAAAATACAGCGTTGTTTAAAACTTGTTTGGGAATAAAATTTAAGCGCATCCGGCTGGATCCATCAGATTTGTGAAAGTTGATGGATTAAAATGTCAAAATGTTTGTTCTTGGAGAGTGGTGGGGTTGACGCTGGTCAGTAATGAGTTATTTATAGTTTATAGCTGCTGCATTTAGATTATTTCAATAAAGTCGCGATATTTTGATTGATTTTCTTAATTGGTGGATTATTCTTTTTAATTTTTCGACTTTCACTTTATGGTGGTTTCGTAACGGTTGTTTAGACAAGACGAAATAACAAATTAAATTTTACCCTTTAATTAATTTCAAAGCTTCCAAGAATACAAAATGTTGCCATCACAAGTCTTTGGAAATAAATATAAGGCGACTGTAATTTTAAACTCATAGAGATAGATGGCGCTGTAATTAATTATTCATGGATATCACAAATTTTGCTATAACTACCCAGAGAATTGAAGCCTAAGGTATCCGACAAAATAAGAACAGGAGCAATAAATTTTGTATTCTCTAGTACAGACTCCATTTCCAACCATTAAACTGTAAACATTCCAGTAAACACATTATTTAGTCGTGCAAACATAAAATCAAGGATTATAACGGGGAAATGTGAAAGCATCGATTATCTGCTTACTGAAAATGAGCGGCCCAAACATGTCTATCTTGAGAATGATTTAATTATTCTTTTATTTTGACGTTGTTTTTAGAGCTGAAAATTGTTATTTATAAACTCCGTTGCCAAGTTGCCGTTAATAGTAACTTTAAAGTTCAACTTTTGCCTTATTTAAAGGGGTTGTAGAATAAAATTTACCATTTTAGATATGTTTTAAGTTTCTTGTTGTCGAAATTAGTCTACACATATTAAGAAAAAAAAAAGCAAAATATAGCCCCACCCACCCGCCCCATCTCAATTGTGGTGATTTTTTTGTATTCGTCGTGAGCCAAGAAGGCGGAGCTTAACTGCAAAAATCCTTATTTCTCTACGAAATATTAAAAACATGTTTTTGAGTATCGTATTATTTAAAGAATACAATAAAAAAAAATAAAGCCAAAGATTAGGCCCCACTCATACCTGCCCTGATTTCAATTCTCAATTGTACTGAATTTTTCATTTTCTGAAAAGAAGACTACGTATATTAAGAAAAAAGGCAAAACATAAGCCCCGCCCACCCGCCCTATCTCAATTGTGATGATTTTTTTTAATCATCGAGAGATAAAGGAGCGGAATTTAATTGCAAAATCCTTATTATTTCTCTACAAGAAATTACCATGTAAGACTTGTTTTGGAACATCTTGTTATTCAAAGAGTACGTATACATACTAAGGAAAAATTAAAGCCAAAGATTAAGCCCCGCCCATGGCTGCCCTAATCTAATGAGTAATTAAGTTTTCATTCGTTGGCAGACTTAGGGGCGGAGCCTAACTTAAAAATCCATATTCCTTAAAAACGTGTTTTAAGTTTAAAAGAAGAGTAAAAAAATCATCATTATATTTCGCTTTTTTTCTTAATGTACATAGTATTCTTTGTTAGTTTAGAGGTTATCCCCTTGCTCTTTTCATTAAAAGAAGAGAAACGCAAATAATCTGTGAATGTATTTTAATAATCAATTGCAACAATTAATTTTATATAATAGGACCAATAAGGAAAAATATCTAAGGACTGCTAAATCCATGTAAAAATAGTTAGGTTAGGAATACACAACTTATAGTAACAAATAGCGCAGAAGGAGGCTGAAAGATAGGCCGAAACATGTACGCTGTAATATATGTATAATTTTAATAAAAAGTGAAGATCAAGCGGATAACCTCTAAATTAATTGAGAACAACCTTCACGCCAAAAACCAAAAACACATAGTATTCTTTGAACAACACGATACTCAAAAACTTGTTTTTAATTTCTTGTAAAGAAATAAGTATTTTGCAGATAAGCTCCGCCCTCTTTGGTTCACGGTGAATACAAAAAATCATCACAAGTGAGATAGGGCGGGTGGGCGGGCTTACTTGTTACCTTTTTGTTTTAATATGTGTAGACTTCTTTTCACAACATAAAACTTAAAACATGTTTAAAATGGAAAATTTGTATAAGGAAATATCGATTTTACAATTAGGCTCCGCCCCATAATTGGAAAATCCATATCTCCTTGCAAAAATATAATCCCCGCCCACCCACCCTACCTCAATTCTAATGATTTTTTTTATTCGTCGTAGCCGAAGGGAGGAGCGTAATTGTAAAATCCTTATTTTTCTACGAGGAATTACCATGTGAAATATGTTCTCAAGTAATCGCGTTATACAAAGAAAACTAAATGTATTAATTAAACAAGAAAACGAAAAGAGAAGCTCCACCCATCCGGCTCGATGAATTTTTTATTCGTTGTCAGACCGAGGGGCGGAGCGTAATTGAAAAATCGATGTTTCCCTATACAAATTTACCATTTTAAACATGTTTTCAGTTTCTTGTTGCGAAAAGAAGACTCCACACATTAAGAAAAAAGGGCAAAATGTAAGTCCTTGTGGTCCTTTGGATTTTTCTTCAAATTGGCAGCACTGCACTACCGGAATTTGATTGGTTGAAATCCCAACGTCAACAGCAACGTAACGGCGAAAATTAAAACTCTGTCATTTGGAATGTGATCCCAACGGCGCGCCAACTTCCAACGGCAACGTCAACGGATGATATAAACGACGCATACCTTCGCTGCGTATTTATCTTACAAACAACGGCAACGTCAGTGACAAGTTTATAAATCGACCTTAATGCTGCAAAGAATAGCTACGACAATTTGTATATGTATATGACGTATTGACTAGGGTTCCTACATGTACAATAATCTTGTAAACATATTTTTGCAACTAAAATAATTTTTTTTGAGATCTCCAAATCAACATTTGATTGTTATAACGACGTCTGCAACAAGTTTTCTTTGTTTAAAATTTAACAATTTCTCACCGAATTATATTCTGCATAGTGCATTTAATTTGTCATCAAGGCGGACGTGAAACAAAGAAACCAATGTTCTGAATCGTTTGTTAGTTATGAGAGTACTTCGTATATATCTAGATGAATGGCTTCAATATTATAACATAACGTAATCTTACACGGATAAACAACCAGTTCTGAAATTGTATCAACTAATCCGCTACACATTTGTTGCAGTGCTGCGTGCGGGCCCAAATTTAGTTTATCACGCGGTATGAGTAACTTGGAACTAAACTTTAAACTAAATTTTAAACAATTATTAGGTAAGTATTGACTAAAGGGTAGTAACTCCGCTTGACTGGGAAGGCTTGCTTGTATTTATTGAATTTTATGTCAAAGTCGCAAACGCACTAAACCTTTCGTCAGACTTTACTATCGCTTTAGTAATACGCAGAATACGCTTTTATTTTTTAGGACTACGTAGACAAGATGCTTCGATAGAAGTCGTACGAACAGACGATAAGACAATTAAGTACCAATAACTTTACAAATTATTTGTGATAAATTTTGGCTCTATAAACCATGTTATGTCAGGATTTAAAATGTTCCCATCTATCACCGGACAGTATTCTAATTAATTATATTTGTCCGCATAATCGATAAGCACCGCAACTCAAAAATTCCAAACCTTCACCTTGATCGATCAGAAAACCTTCAAACTTGCAAAGAATGTCTAATCTCCTACCATCACCAAAATTACAGAATCCAACCGAACGCCTGCAATAAATCAGCGGAATGTGGGTTTCTAGTCCGTCCCGTCTCGAAAAAAGGTCCTGTCTAAATTCGTGCGAGAGGAAGGACATGCCGGACGCAATTTAACAATCGTAAATTACGGTTTTGCTCCGATGGCTTTGCGTGCAGGTAAGGTAATTGTACGGCAGAGAGCGACTTTGATTGCACATAATAGTTAGACGGCGCCGGCTGTGATGGCACAACTAGGGTTGGTCCTCAACTAGACGAGACAGTGCAATAAATTCAAGTGGAGCCGATGAAAAATGGGGATGCGACAGGTAAAGTAAAGTCGCCAGCTTGTTTACTCTGTCTTGTCGTGGTGTACCAACTGAATTATCGAAGAGGCGCACAACAGGTGGGAGGTTCATTAGGTTTTTTGCTGCGGAGACGGATTTCTGGTGTTTTTGAGCTGAAGCGCCAGCAATTTTAACGAAATTGGCAGAATAACGACCCACTTATTTTGTTTTTCTATATGTCGGTTTTTTATTGTGGTGTTGGATATTTATTTACGAGGATGAGATGGGTGTTGAAACAAAAGTGCACTACAACTAAGTACGTATGTGTAGGTTTTTTAATGGGAAAGCCCATACGTGTGTTAAAAAGATACTGGGTTTTCAAACATGATTTGGAACAAAGATTGCCACATTGTCACATAGATGTTTCAATTTTCAGGAAACACAGTTGCCAGAATTTTTAGAAGAAGCACCTTTAGCAGACCGGCAAAGAATGTGATTTATGCACGATGGAGCTCCTTCCAACTTTATCTTAAATCTTAATAGCTGCGACTATTATTTGTGGGGTTAAATGGACCTAAGGTATGTCGGACTTAAGTAGACACAGCAGAAAATTTTGCAAGAGTATATTCTAACAGTCCACAAAATTTAGCTGCAAAAAGCAATTCTTTACTAAAACAGGCAGACAAAACACTCATTTTGAACACTTAAATAGTTTTAAGTTTTATTATTTTGTTGTGTTGCGTACAATAATAAAATATTACTTTGTGCATTGATTAAATACATATAGATAGACCCATGCTATTGTTTGGAGCGAACAGGCCAACGGCCGGCGA